CTTCTCCACTTGATGGATGATTTGTTGGTGGAGAGTTTGTACATCACCCTCCAACATCCAAGAATCCACCATTACCACCATATTTCAAATTAAATATCTAATTCCATTCATCTTGACCTTCAGCATGCTAAAAACCCCTTTGCTTGATCAAAAGATGGTGTGGATCTTCCTCCTCAACTAGATCTAGTCGGGCATTTGAAGTTCCCATCTAGCCTAGAATGTTGAAACCCTTGATGCCAATCTACTGCCAAAAGCCTCATTGATCTTCCTCCTCTTTCGCTAGGCTTATTTGCTGCCTCTTGAGCTACTGCTGCCTTTTAATGAATTAATTACTTGTCTAAATCCAAGCTGGGACTGATCAATATGGCGGTAGTGGAAGGGTACCACATAGTGGCTAATTGTTACTTCTTTGTTAACTTCTAGCATTTGGCTGCCCTAGGCCTACCCAACTCTGATCTAGCCTGATAGTGGCCTTCCACCAGCTGGGAATGATGCAGCCTAGCTCCTAGTGCTGTGGGTATGCTTCAGACTGTAGCAAATGATGATTCCTGGTCACCCGAGTAGTATCAACTCCTTAAATCATTCTCCTTTGTTCACTGTGACTCCACTAACTCACTTCTATCTCTCCTTGGGTGATGCTTGACACCTCTCTACATTTGGGATCACCATGTTTCCATATCCAAGTAAGTCCCTCAGAGTTTCCCATAAACATGACCAAAAGATGTCAGACCAGCCTTTTTCTCTTTCAGACTAGTGGGACAACTCTAAACACTCTTTCTGTACCTAGACAAGCTCAGGAACACTATGTTTTTGCAACTAATCGCAAGCTACACTAAGATTCTTCTCCAACTCATGGTGACTGAGTTCCTTCCTCACTCTGGAATTGCAAAACACACTTAATAAACTCAAACAAAGGACTTTAAACTCCTGCCTTTTATATTCCCAAATCTACCTTTTATACTCCCAAATATGAGATTCCTTTATGCTACTTGATGATGCTTTTCCATGAGATTCTTGTGATCTCCCAATGCTGCAGTTTTGCTAAACCACAACTCCTTCTAGAAGCCAGCACCTTAATTCCTTGTGCCTAGCCCCCAAAATCTTTAATTTCACCACCTAGCACTTCTTCCCTGTCATCTTCCACATCACCTTGCCTTGTGGATCAAACCCAACTTTGATTTTTCTCCTGCGCATTCCAAGAGCACATTGTAAAAGCTTGTAAGATGTTATGGTTTGGTTTAAGACATGCTGCCACTTCTTGTAACATCTTGGAAGAGAGATTCATCTCCTTGCCCAACTATAAAGCATGGGACCTAACTACATGGATGCAATGCAAGTTTTATTTGCAATGGAAGTCCATTTTGCCCTACCTCCTACTATCAATAAGAAATTTCTCCCAGTCAGGGACACTGTGCTTTCCAGACAGAGATGCCGCTGTGGAATGAGAGGCAGATTTGACAAGCAAGAGCCAGGCAAGTAGTTTTCCTCTCTTGAACTGTCATCGATCGATCGAACTTGTGACTAATAGACGGTCAGAAATACTCCCCTGGGGTGGACATGGCGGTCTCGTTTCTCAAATTCTACAAGAGTAAGAAACGCGTGAAGCGATGCGATTGAAATTCCAGAACATTTCTAATAGCCCTCTTCTTTTCTTTAGGAGAGATTTCGCCGCTGCTGCCCGGTTCCTGTAGATTTGTGCCGACTTGCAGCGATTACTCAATCCAAGCATACCAAAAGTATGGCGTCGTCAAAGGCACAATCCTGACTGGGTCTCGCCTCCTTCGCTGCAATCCTCTAGGTGGGTGGAGTTCAATCAATTCTAAGGCTGCGATTGATGGTTTTCGACGCGACAGGCCCCTCCGGATTTGATCCACCGCGCTGGTTTGACGAGGAGATCAACGAGAAATGAGTGTGCTCTGTTTTTAGGGTTCTTCGTAACTTATAAAAAATCGGTTTTTTACCATTTCCAAAACATTTACAATTATCTCTTCTCTCAACGGCAGCAAATCATAGGGGAAAACCAAAGGAAAATAATGAAAGAGGAATTTACCTGCGAGGCAATTAGAAAAAGAAGGAAGAGATCGGCAGGGGGAGGAGAATTGGGATTTACACTTTGTGCCATCCAAAGAAGCAAAGGGGGAAAAAACGAAAATTAGCACCCGATTTTAATCGTCGCTCGATCGATCGCAAGAGGGACGCTCCTTCCTTCCATCCAACAAGCTGGGCGATCTCCCCTCTTCAGTTGATTGCCACCAGCTCGTTCACCCATCCCAGATCGGGGCAATTCTCGCCGCCACACTCGGCCAGATTCTTCGACTGATCGAATCGCTGCGCGTAGTACTCGTCGTCGATCGCAGTCCGGCTCCAAATGCTGGGCGATCCCATGCCCAGCGACGGCGAGAGCGATCGCGCGCAGTCATTCGATCGAAAGAGAGGAGACCTTCCATAGGGCGACGGCGACACGGGTGGGGACGAATATCCTCCAGGCGGCACGGAATATCCCACCCCGGGCTCGTTGAGTTCCATCTGCCTGTGCAATGCCGCCACCAGGCTAGCGGCATTGCTAGTGCGCGAATTGAACGACAGCGATTGCCCCAGCAGCCTGGACCGTCGATCCGCCTCTACCGCCGCGGCGGCGGCGGCGGCCGCCGTGACGTGCGGCATCGACTTCATCCTCTCCAGCGCCGCCGCCACGTGCCGCTGCGGCACCGCGGCGGCGGCGGCCAGCAGCGCGTGCGCGTCCGCCACCGCCGCGGCATGCGCGATGGACTTGAGCAGCGCGGCGTCCCTCGGCGGCGTGCCGCGCGGCGTACCGCACGGCGAGAGCGGCGGCGAGTTGTCCACCGGCGAGAGCGGCGGTGAGGAGGCAGAAGAGATCGAAGAAGCGGAAGACGAAGAAGTGGGCGATGGGAGGCGCAGCTGCTCGGGCGTGTGCGCGAAGAAGCACACCTTGCGCTTGCAATTCCGGCCGTCCTTGCAGGGCTGGGTGCGGTACCGCGCGGGATGCAGCCAGCACTCGAACACGCCGTGCGCCAGATCGCAGCTGTCCCCGTTCTTGCAGCAGCCCTTGCGGAAGTCGGGGCACGACGTGCCCGAGTAGTGGAAGCGGCGGGGATCCCTCCGCCGCGCCTTCTCGCCCGGATGCGCAAAGGGGCACTCTGTCCAGTCGTGGCTCCGCCCGCGCATGCACCGCCGGACCTTGAATTCGAACATCCGGAACTCGTCGCACGCGTAGAGGTGCTCCGGCGACCACGAATCCTCGTTGTTGGAGGGCAGGAATTTGTGGAGCGCCCCCATGCTTGTCGGGCTGTCGCAGCTCCCGCTGTCGGCCGACACCGATCCAAACGCATTGCCGCCGCTGCCGCCACCCATCCCTACATGCAGATCCATCCCCGCGCTCGAGCTCGCTCGCGCTGTTCTTCTTCTTGTGTGATCTTCTTCTAATCTACGCTGCCTCCCCTCTTTTCTTCTTTTCTTTGCGAGCGAAGCACCGCGCGGTCTTCTTATCCGCGGCCCCTGGAAACTCTGCTTATAAACGGATCAAAACCCACTTCCCGCTTGACACGTGGCGCGGTGCAGGCCCTCGGATTAAAGAGATCCGTCACACAAATGCCACGGACACGTGGCGGGACTTACCACGTGCGATATGGCCAATCCCACGGCCGCGGATCGTTTTGCAGGTTAACGGCAAGGGGACGTACGCTAACGCCGCTAGTGCCAGACGCGTTAACGACCCAGTAGTCAACAAAGCAGCGCCGCGAAGGTTCGGGCCCTAACGCGGCGTGCCCTAGCCCCAGGTGGGAATCGATCCCGCGACGCGCGACTTTCTCTTTTTCTTTTGCGGTCACGTTGATGTCGTGTCAAGTTTATGGGCGAGATTCCCCTGGAATCTTGACATTTATATTGGCTTCTTCAAGGTTTGGATTGGGTAAGCACACATCATCTTTTTTAACTTTCAAGCAGGCCATAGTGGAGAATACTATTGATACTGTGAGCCCCCGTCCCCGTGTCCTACGCGAAGAAAAAAAAAAAAGAAAACGACCTTGCTCTTAACATTAGTACCATAGCGATTATAATATCCTTTACTTCCTCCACGTAGTGCTTTGGATTTGATGACATCTCCACTTTGATGAAAGCTTTTACTTTCTATTTCTTTCTTATTCACCGGGTCAAGCTGACCAAACATCTCACATGACCCAGGCGATTAAGTTATTCACCTAAAGGTGAAGGCCCCGCGTTATTCCATCTACTTTAACCGTGTCGCGTTTGTGCGCCACTCGCTAGCTAGCTAGTGCCAAAGTGAATGTTTGGACAAAAAAGTTTCCCCTTTATTATTTACCCCACACGTCCTTGTTTCCGCTAATGCAATGAACCTTGTATGCCCAATGTATGTCGGCCCATGGTTTGTGTTTAATCTCGTATAATCCCATGTGGCCCTGAGGTTGTTTATATGATTCTATCAGCCTCACGTGCGCGTGGGCACTTATCCGCAACGTTGTCGCGGTGGAATATTCTCCGAGGATATCCTTATCCCGGGCCTTGCATGGGGCCCGGGGGCCAGCGTACGGAGATCGGTTTCGCGACAACGATAAAAAGTGAGGCCTCGTGACGTGGTTGTGGATAGGCACGAGGGCGGCCATACCTCCTCATTATTAACAAATATCTTCTTTAATTATGGTTCTTATTTTTCCCTCCTGCCCCTTTTTTCTCCTCCTTGCGCATGAAAGAAAATCTCATCCATCCAAGCCTGTCGCTCTCGGATTCGATTCGATTTGGTCCCCTGTTCCGGGACCCGCCAGGATCGCTACTACTACCAGGAATATGCTTCTACCGGTGATGGAATGTGCGAGGAAGCGGAATATGCTGCTGGCGGAATGTCCTGCGCATGTTTTTGAAAGTTTGAAAGACTTGTGGCGCTAACTGCGGGGATGGGCTCCGTTACAAAAAGAGAGTCGACACATTGAATGCCTCGCAGCACCAGATTTTTTGGAGATTGATTCATGACACTCGGAGCTCTGGTGTTCTTCGCTGCTGTATTGGCTGTGATTTGCGATGCCAGGAGTTTGAATGAAACGCTGTTCAGATCGTCCGCAATGGAGATCAATGTGATCAATGCTAGCGAGTGGCAGACCGGAAGGGGAACTTGGTATGGTCCTCCCCTTGGCACTGGAACAAACAGTGAGCTAGTCTGGTCTCATGTTTAAATGATGATATCATCGGTTCTGATCGATTCTCTTTTGTGCAGCGGGTGCCTGTGGGTATGGCGAACTTGAGGGGACTCCTTACGATTCCAATATCGTCGCCATAGGAAGCGAGAGCTTTAACGATGGCCTTGGTTGTGGAGCTTGCTTCGAGGTAAATTGCTAGCTCTAGCAGAAGAAGTGAAAGGTTTCCTGAATCTTGGTGAGAATTTGATTTGATCAATGATTTAGGTAAGGTGTGTCAATGACACGAATTGCCGAGAGGAGCCCACGACTGTGGTGGTGGTGACTGACGAATGCCCAGAGTGTCCCGCGGACCAGCTAGACTTCAGCGGCACAGCGTTTGAGAGCCTCGCAATAGAAGGTCAAGGTGACGCTCTTCGAGCCAAGGGCATCATTTCAATCGAGTATAGACGGTAAAACCATCCGGATATAGTCGATCACAAGAGAATAACACTTCTATATTGATCCAGGAAGTCTTGCGACTTTGCAGCCAACATCACCTTCGAAGTTGTGCCCGGATCAAACGAGTTTTGGATCGCGTTCTTGGTGAAGTATGTGCCAGGATACGGGGCGCTTCAAAGCGTGGAAGTCCAGAGCAGTGGAAGCAACACTTGGGAGAACGCCGCTCACCTGTGGGGAGCGGTGTGGCAAATCGATGGCCCTTTGACAACTCCAACTTCGGTGAGGGTGACGACCGTGGGTGGCGAAGTTGCCACTTGTGTTCTAACCGGGATCACGAGCTGGTCGCCTGGAGAAACTTCTACTTGTGGTGAAAGTTGACTACAATATAGTAATTATAAAAATTTAGACATAATTATTATTTAGAAGTAATAATCATAATTAGGGGATGTAGCTCAAATGGTAGAGCAGTTGTTCAGCATACATCAGGTAGAAGGATCGATACCTCCCATCTCCATAGTTTCCTTTGTTATTGATGCTTAAGCTCAAATAAATCTCAAGATGCATGAACTGTTATCATCACATTACTTTGGATGCTTGGCCTTTAAGCTTTGATTCCATTAAAAAAACAATTTATGTTTCCTTGTTTATAAATCAATAGATTGTTTCTTTCATGCATTAAGTTTAAAGATTTGGAAAGACTAAATTAAGCACTTGTTTTTGTTCCAGTGAGTGTTCTTAACAGCCGGAATTTGTAGAGAAAAATCTATAAATAAATCTTAAATATATAAATCATTTGTATCATATATATTATATAAATCATATAAATATTAAATAAATAATTATTAAGCCTTATACCTTTTATTACTATAAAACAAGGTAATGTTATTTTAGGGTTAAATGTTGAGAAAGGCTTTACGTGGGGTGGTGTGTGATCTGGATGGAACGCTGCGGATCCCGCCCTCGCTCGATCTCAAGGCCCTGCTATCCTCGCTTGCAAATCGCAAGTTTCCATGTAGGGACGAGGCCGAGCTAGCACGCCAGGCTGTAGAAAGGGCGAAGGCGCTCCAGAGCTCTGGCGAAACATCACTCCCCGGGGCATTAGAGCTCTGCGACTTCATCGATTCGATCCCGCTGCCACGCGCGATCATCACGTTGAGCAGTAGAGCTGACGCGCAGAAACACGAGGTGAAGGAGCTCGCGAGGGCGTCGAGGAGATTTTCACCGATTTTTGGGGGGGAGGAGAAGGTGGTGAAGCCGTCGCCCGAGCCGCTGCTGCGAGTGTGCCACAAGTGGGGCGTGGAGCCAGGCCAAGTTTTGATGGTGGGCGATTCGGCAAAGTATGATATCGCCTGCGGCAACAGCGCGGGAGCAATCACTTGCCTCGTTGATCCGCTGTTTCGATACAGGATTGACGAGCTCACCGGCGAGCGGCGGCCTGATTTCGTCGTCCATTCCCTCCACGAGATCCAAGAACTCATCAGAAAGATCGGCTACCTTCCCTTTGATTGTAAATTTGATTAGAGAGAAATATACTTACTTTGCGCTTTGATTATAGAGGACTTACTAGAACCCGCTAGAACCCTAGAGCGAAGTGGTCTCGATTTGTCGCGCAGAGCTGAGGTTGGTTCTTATTTCTCGTCAGATGCAATGCCGCTATTGGAGATCATGGGTGTTTTCGTAGTTTCTTGTTGTGATTCTCAGCTTCGTTTTCTTGACGATTGAAAATACTCTGCGATTTCCTGTTAAATTTTGTGGTTTTTAACACACTCCTCTAACGAGATTTTGTTCTTGGACGAAGAATGTTCCGCAACCTGGTGTCTGCGGCTAAGAGAGGTTTGCTCGCTCTAAAATTTTCGCTTGGAGTTTAAAGTTTTTCCTGGCCTCTCTTATAGTGTTCCAGCTGCAGCCTCCGAGCCAGCAACACCTCTTCTCGCTCACCACAGAGAAGGAGCTTGCCGCATGGGAGCACTACTCGGATAAAAGCTTTGGAGGTTCGTGAAGAGCTGGAAAAGTTCTTCGTTACTCGTTTTTTTTATTTTGCTTCAGGGCTGTCAACGAGCAACTTTGGACTGGGCAGCGAAGGCAAAGGTTTCGTGACACCTTCTTCGAAGTTCTAATTTTCTCACGGATTTTTCAGCTGTTTTCTGGGGAGATCTCAGCCTGGAGCTCGACCAGGACAAGGTCGTGCGGATCAAAAAGAGTGGATTCGCAGGACTCAACACGAAAAGGGTGAGTGAATCACTACTTCGAACTCAAACGTTTTTTTCTTGCTCCTAGGACTATGGAATTTTCGATCTTGCTCCATTCGATGTGATCGAGATGCGTCTCAAAGGGGATGGACGCGCCTACATGACCAGCGTAAGAAACTCTTTTGTCGTCTGAGTTTTTCCTCTCTTTTTTCATGCTTTTCATTGTAGTTGCGGACAGAGAACTGGGTTGACAGAGCTATCGCCGATGATAATAGTTGGCATCACGTAATTCACACAAGCAATGACGAGTGGAAAATCTACAAGGTAAATAGCTGCAAGCTAAACGACCCAAAAACTTGTTCTGTATACGCAGCTTGCGATCAAAGACTACAAGAGGACATGGCACGGCCGAGTTTTGGAAGAACAATGCGAGATCAATCTTTCTAGGATTGTGGGAATGGGAATCCATGTCACGGCGAGAACAACGGCGGGAGAAATCCAGGGACCGGGTCCTTACAGGCTAGAGCTCGACTGGATGAGAGCAGTGAGAACGAAAGACTTCCATAGAGATTTCTGAGACACTAGAGGTGAGCGAAGTTTTGTTTTGGATTAATACTTAGCTCGGAGTCCTACACATAGCAAAGTTTTCGGTCCAGCAATAAAAAAGTCGATGCATACCAATAGTTTTGCTTGCTCACTAGAATGAATCCAAGCCAATCGGTGAAACTATTTTACCACGAGCCGGAACCAGAGCCCGTGCCTGTCCAGCCATTCATGTCCTGAAAATCCAGAGAAAAAAGCCAGTAAGACACCAGAGAAACTTAAAAACTTAAGAGACGGACTCTGAAAAGACCTGAGACGTGCCATAGGCACTGTAAGCTGCCTGGCCCTGTTGAGTGCCATATGCCGTGTAAGAACCATAGCCATAACCCTGGAGAAAAGAGCATCAAATGGAGTGGAAACCTTACAGAAAATAAAAGAAAAAACACAAACCTGTTGAGCGTACGCATTCCACTGTGCTGTTTGTGGAGCTTGCTGTTGCTGCCAGTTTTGAGGATAGCTCTGGCCTCCGTAGGCCGCGGCCCACTGTTGCTGCCCGTACGCTTGCATTGCCGCGGGGGAGCTCTTTAAGAGCTTGGCTCGATCGCTGAAGCTGGCGTCGTGTGCCAGGCGCCTCTTAAAATCAATGTATGATTTCCGGAACGGGAACAGTCCTTCGTGACGGTATTCCGCTTCCATGACAGCGTTGATGTCTCCAAATGCGTCTACAAACTGAAAAGCACGGTCTCGCAATCATCCGGAGTGGAAGTGGACACGTACCTCTAGATGTAAGCTTGAAAGTTCTTCGCGATCAGTGTGAGCTAAGCCTGTCTCGGCCTTGGTTGACTGCTGGATTAGAGAGGACAGTTTATCCAGTTGTTTAACTTCGCTACGGTACTCGTTATAGATCGCCGCCTGCGACAGTAAGAAAAGACGCTTTCAAACACAAAACAAATCCTTCATGAATTTCCATACCTCAACAGCAATCTTGGTTAGAGGAATTTCCATGGTGGCTTCCAGAACTTCCTTAGCTTTGGACTTGCGATCAATCTGCGACATAACGAGGACGTTTTAGCTCGTGGTGTTTGAGATACAATGCATACCCGACAGAGGAAACGATTATACTGGACATATAATAATGATAGAGTCTTAGACTCCTCCTTGGCTTTCTCTACTTCAATTGCAGACTCAAAGACGCCACAAGCAGCGTCATTGTCTCCCTGAAAAAACAAAGTCTATTCTTCTTGTGATATAACAAATGAAAGAGCTTACCTCACGCATTTCAAAATGAGCCGCCTTTACAATCGCGTCAAGATGGCCCGGGACGAGCTCCGTGCTTATGTATTTATAAGTTTTACGAGCAGCAGTAGCATCACCGGTGCGCTCTTGAAACCTGGCGGCAAAAATATGGACATCTGGTACTTTCTGTAATATAAAGTCATAAACCAAACCAAGGCGTATCTCAAACAAGACAGACCTTGACAAATATATGGGTCGCCCGGTGCAATGCATCGTTTGCCATTTCCAGATTCTTCTGCTTTTCTAAATATTCGACATACCGAATCCAGTACTCGGGATAATTTGCACAGGCAATTAGGCACCTCTCAAAAAGCTTCACAACCTGCAAAAAGTGTTGATGAGCAAAGAAAATTGAGACTAAGAGCAAAACAGACCTTCTGCATGTCTGCTTCCTTCTCAACGAAATCCAGGTACTTGTGCCAGTTTGCAAGCTGCGCGTCGTCCAGAGACTTGACGTGAAAATATGGCCTGCGTATCGAGTTCTCGAAGTCCCTGATTTTGGCATCCCATTCCTTTGTTTTCTTATAAATGGCCTCTTTCGCTGATATCAGCTTCTCAGACTCGTGCGCATTTCTGGGAAGTGTTTCCGCCAAATGCCGCTTCTCTTCTGTTCTCACATCTAACCAATGTCTGTTGTTTGTGAACTGCTTAAAACTGTAGCAAGAGAAAATAAATAGTTTAGTCGACTATCAGAAAACGCTTTTCTAAACGCACCTCATGAAATACCGGTCTAGTTGCTGCAGAGGAACTTCCAAAATTCGCGTGCGCACTTGCATGAGCAAGCTATAGTCTTGCCTGGCCAATGCGTAGTCTATAAATTTGTCCCACAAGATATGCGACAGGTAGTCCGTCCCAACCAAAGAAACTCCTCGCTCAAACAGCCTGCGAGGAAAAGGAAAAAAAAAAGAGTCATGCTACTTTCAAGGAAGAGAAGTAAAGAACGTGACTTGACACAATCAGCATAGAAAGAAAAAAGTCATTTATAACATTACAAAGTTACCTTCCTTCAGAAACACACTAGGCCCGTAGTGTCCCCTTGAACTCTTCGCAGCATCGTTTCTGTTCGTTCTATAACTGATTAAACATCTAAACTACATAGGAAAGGAAAACAAAACCAAACCGTATCGCCAACATTCTGAGAAAAAAAATTCATTCCCGAAAGGGAAACGCTGCAGCAAGGATTACCCGATCGTTAGAAGGAAGCCAAGCAGACAAAAGTCTGCCAAAAAGCACAGGAAAGCACGAAAACTCATGCATTAAAGGAACAAAAGCCATACCTGATGACTTCTTCCGGTGGAAACTTCTCGGCCGCATAGGCACAGTAGTGCACCCAAATGTCCACGGAATGAGCCACAGCCTTCACAGCTCGCTCGTAAACTTCGATGATCTTCTCCGGCGAGCCAAGCCGCAACTCAAAGTCAGCATACTTCTTCCAGTAACCATAGCAAAGAGGAAACTCCGCGAGAAAAGTATCGTAGCAAACACGAATGCGATCAATCTCATCCTGGAGAGACCAACAAAAATGAGAAAAGAGAGAGCAAAGCGAAAGTTACCACTTACATGCTTCTCGGTTTCTTGGATAAGTTCCGTCCACGCATTAAAATCCGCTGGATTCGCCTTGACAACGCTCCAAAGCCGTTCCTCCGGAGTGATCACTGCCATACGAAAAATTTACACTCCAATAACATCTAAAATCTCTTACCAGGAACCTCCTCAGCCTTGGGCGCTTGCTCCTCCTCGATCACTTGCTCGCTGGCATTGGCCTCCGAGGATTCTGGAGCTGGAGCTTCCATCGCGAGACTCCACTCACTGGCAATGCCGAATCGAAACGGATGATCGGGCGCGGAGGAGAAGAGGAAGCGTACCGGAGAGCAAACCTGAGAGAAGATGGAGCGCCCTAATTTCAAAAAAGCTGAGGGCCGTCCGTTTCCAACGAGGCCAAATCCCAGCCGTCGGCTAGTTCGTTGGCGATTACGCGATCCTGACCGTTGATGTTTCACCACGTGGCGAGATTGCTTTCATGGCTGGGATTGCTTGGGGGGGCGCTGGACAGATAACGAGGAAGAGCTTTGGGGGTTATGCGCGATTTTGGAGTGAGCGCGCATTCTTTCTTTCCTCGGTAGAACCCTAGGTTTTCTCGTGGCGATCGGCGCGCGGGCTACCGAGGAAATCGTCTCAGGTATGCATTGCATTGTGGCGATGGAATCTCCAGCTGACGAGATTTCTAGCTCAGGATGGATAAGAATGTCAGGCGCAATGTCGTCACGAATGAGATCATTGAATTGGAGCATCTTCTGCTGGAAAGAGTGCGATGATATTCCGTTTCTTCTATCGATTCTTTGTTCTTTCGCTCATTTCTTTTTCCTTGGAACGTTATCTTTCCAGTTGCAATATCGAACCGAGCGATCGGGAATTGGACTCACGAATGTCTCGATGCTACCGGAGCAAGAGCTATGCCAGAATTTGCTCGTGGATGGAAACCCACAGGCTTTTGTTGGTAAGAACTTTTCTATCTTGTTTATTGTGTTTGATGGCACGCTTTGTATGCCGCAGAGCTCTTCACTATCACAACCACCTTAAAAATCGATCCCACTCCCAAAGAAGATGAAGAGGCTGGAATTCTCAATCCCATTGCAGAAGCCCAGAAAACCGTGAGCTTCCTTGCTTAGAATGTACTCCAGCTTAACGTATTCTCTTTTGCAGCTTAAACGAAAGGAAACTCTAAGCAGTCTCAGTGAGAATTTAGCAGCAGCAGAGCTTGCTTCCAGAATTGGTATTCCTCTCTTCCTCATTATAAATAAGTAAGCATTCTGCAGATTTATGTTCTCCTAGATTCACCTTTTTTTCTTTGCAGAAGACCACGAGAAAGTTTTTGAAGCAAATTCTGGAACTGGGGAAATTTTTGAGAAGACTTGCTACTTTGAAAAATCCATTGAGTATTATTCTAGAAGCCTTGCTGCGGCGATAAAAACCAAAAATGACACTCAAAAGTCTCAGGTAACGATTTATCGTGCTACTACTTCACTCACTTTTGTGTTGTAGGCCAAGTTCAATCTTGGTAAAATTTACTGGAAGATGCATAATAGCACAAAAGCAATCGAAAACTACGAGGAGTGCTTGCAACTCGCAAGAACAATTAAATACGACAAGCGCGTCGTGCAAGCTGCTAAAGAGCTTTTGGAGGTAACAAAAGCACCCATACAAAACTTGTGATTTATGTAGTTTGTGTGAAACAGATATATTGGCACTGCGCTGAGAGGTCTCGAGCGCTGCAAGACATTACAGGAAGCATCGAATACTTTGAAAAGGTAAGCGATGCGTGCTCATCGAATTTTCCGTGACATTTTGAACAGGCTATTATGATGGCCGAGGCTTGCGGAAATGAATCAATGGGTGCTGAAGCCAAATACAACATTGGAATGTTGTATGCAAAGCTACGGAATCTGGAGAAGTCGCTAGACTATCAGACGAAATACCTCGAGTATTCATCACAGGCTGGAAACAAGGTACAGATATTCCAGAATGAGGATAATGACGCTTTTTCTTTTTCTTTTCAGGCTGGTGAATGCAAAGCAAGGGCTTCCATGGCTGAAGCTTTTGAAGTTTGCGGAGATGTTTTAACAGCAGTCAGCCATCTTGAGCTATACCTTGAAGCAGCTGAAGACGTTGATCTCACCACACAAGTATAAAAGTAAACTTTCAATGCTAGTTACTCACATTTTCTAGCATTGCAGGCGAGGGGTCACTGCCTGCTGGGATTGCTCTACCAAAGACAACACGAACGCGACATGGCATTCGACCAGTTCCAGAGATACTTTGCTCTGGCTCGCATCATCAAAGAGCCCGACTTGTTGGATGTTGCGCGAGTCAACATCGGCATTGTTAAGGACGTTCACGAGTTGTATTTTGGTGCATCTGCGGGATAGCTGTCTCTAACGAGCTCAAACGTAAGCATTCGCTATTTGCATCTTCTTTCTCGTACATACTGATCGATTTCTGTCATACCGACAAGTTTTCCAGATCACTATGATCTAAAATCTTATTTAGACACCCGGGGAACTTTACGCTCCTGGAAGCTCAAGTTGGAACTTCACGAGGAACCTGGTACCCTGAGACAACAAAACAAAGTCGTTCTGATCGCGGAGGTGAGCAAGCAATCTTACCAGCGCAGGTGTAGTCGGGAGGAACATTAAAGTTGACGTTGCAGCGCTTGGGAATGGTGAGCGCGGTGGGGATGTCCACATTGTACTTCTGAGCGAGACTGCTCTGGACGCTATCGCACAGGCACTTGGGAGTGAACTTCTTGATGTTAGAACAGCAGGATGGAGATGGAGTCTTGGTAGCTCCACCCTTCTGCACGGCACTGAGGCAGGGCGCGAGCTGGATCGTGTTGCAAGTCGCCCCTTCGCTCCTTGCGATCGCGGCTAGAGCAAGAACAGCGAGAACGAGAGCTACAAACTTCTCCATTGCCAAAGGCTGGAAACAAAGTTACGGTGTCAAAGCTACTGCAAAGAATTGTTCTCGGCCTCTTTGCTCTTGCTTACCTTGTTTGTCCCAGTGATCGAGCCATGGAATGGAAGAGTGGGGGTCTTTTTATACGTGCTTGGGGGATCTTGTGAGTGAGAATTACAGTGATTCCTTCTAGCACTCACGCATAAAGCTAGCTCCACTTCCGAAAGAAGTATTCACACTTGTCACCTTGGACATAACACTCTGGTACATACATGTCACCTTCTAGTACATATATGTCTTTAACTGATTTTTATACTAAAAATTAACATTTCTTTACATAAATGTCCAATAATTTGCTGAGGCATGATTTACTAGTGGTTAGTTGTGGATTGATAGTGGTGAAACACTGAACCATCCTGCTCATGCAAGATCAATTCTTAATTCTTTAATTTCTTTCCTAGGAACCTTGCTATTGCTTCATTCGGTTTGCCTGTGTCACTCTTTCTTATTAAACTGAAAAGATAAAAAAAATATTATAATCAATATTATTTATAAGTTGAGAACTCAATCCTTCTTCCAGTGATCCAAAGAGCCACACTTGAAACATTGATCTCCAATAGTGATGCAATTGCCCACGATTGGATGTTGTTGATCCAGTCCCAGGGAGGAAATAAATTCGCCGAAAGTATAAACATGTTTATAGTTAGTAAACACAGAGGATGAGCATATACTAAAGACTATCACAGCTTTAACACGAATTAGATTTATACATATTTGCGAGCAAGAGGTAAGAGCCAGAATGTTTTGGTTCCAAGTCAATCGCGTTTTGGGCCGCCCGTGTACCTCTATCCACATCGCAGTACATCCTACTAGCACTCGACACCGACTTCCACACCACATAGTTTGGAAGAAACGGCATATACCTCGCAAGCTCCTCGGCCTCGCCCAGCCTCCCAAGCCTGGCCAGAATGTCCACCATGCACGCGAAATGTCCACGCTCCGCCCTCACATTATGGTCCGAAACCATCGACACGAAATAGCGCCAGCTCGTCTCCACCATTCCGAGGTGGCTGCACGCCACCAGCACGTTGGTGAAGGTGACACCGTCGGATGGGATTCCGTGGAGCACCATCTGGTGGAAATTCCGCAACGCAACCGTCCCCTGGCCATTCCGCGCGTACGAGGAGACGAGCGCGTTCCAGGCCACGGAGGAGCTCTTGTCGGGGAGGCGGCGGAAGAGATTCTCGGCGTCTTGGGCGTGGCCGTTTAGCGCGCTGGCGGTGAGGATCGCGTTCCAGGAGAAGGAGTTCTTGGCGGGCATGGCGTGGAAGATGTTGCGCGCCTCGCCCAGATCCCCGGCCTCGGCCGTGGCCGAGAGGAGGATGTTCCAGGCGATCACGTCCCAGGCGGGCATTCGATCGAAGCAAGCTCTCGCGGCAGTGACGGGCTTGTGCTCGGCGATCCCGGCAGCAAGATTGTTCCAGGAGGAGACGTCCCTCGTGGGCATCGCATCGAACACTGCCTTGGATCCGTCGAAGCAGCCGCTGTGGAGGTGGGCGGCGATCATCGCGTTCCAGGAGCACAGACTCTTGTGTTCTTCCGGGAGGGATTTGAAGAGACTCACTGCCTCGTCCAAATGCCCCTTTTGGGCATTTGCGGTGATCAACGCGTTCCAAGAGATGACATTCCATCCAGGCATCCGTGTGAAGAGCTCTCTTGCGAAGATCAAACTAGAAGACACTGTGCTTGCTGTGATCATACATGTCCAAGAGATCACGCTGCGTAGCTCCATCCGATCGAACAAGATCTTCGCCTCTTCCAAATTCCCAAACCGGGCAAATCCCGAAAGAAGAGCGTTGAACGAGGCGGGATCCCAGCGCGGCATCAATCCAAACGCGCATTGCGCGAGTGGAAAGTTTCCATTCTCCACATACGCAGTGACGATCGCGTTCCAGGACACGGAGTTCTTCTCGGGCATTCGATCGAAGAGCGCGCGAGCGCCGGCAAGATCCCAGGACTGGGCAAGTGCCGCGAGAGCGTCTGTCCAGGAAACAACATCAAACTGCGGCATCCTATCCAGCACCGCGAGCGCGTTCTGGATCAAACCCCGGTGATTGTACCCCAGCAGGAGCGAGTTCCAGGAGAGTATGCATCGCTCCGGCGCGCGATCGAAGAGAGCTTTGGCCTCCTCCGTCCTCCCGGACGATCCTGATCTCGCCCAAGACCCAAGAACAGTGTTGATCGAGACGACGCTCCAGCCGGACGAGCGATCGAACACCTTCCAGACGATCTCGCAGCCCCTGACGGCAAATGCCGCGGCGAGGATGTTCCAGGAGACGAGATTTCGATCGGGCATGACATCGAAAAGTGCCTTGGCGTCGTCCGAGGCGCCGCATCGTGCGTACAAATGGAGGAGGAGATTGCCGAGGGAGAGATCGCCCTCCAAGCGATGCTCCCGGACAAGGCGATGGATCCTCCGGCCCTGCCGGAGATCCTGGGCGGCGGCGCAGCTCCTCAAGCGCGCCGCCAATTCATTCATAAATTGAAGAATATACCACAATAGACGAATATATTATAATGATGCTTAAAGAATATATTATATAATTAAGCTTAACGAATATACCACAATGGTGCTTAAGAATATACCGCAATGATATGCATGCCACCATGGTGAATAACAGATGTATCCTAGCTAGATGACGTAGAAAAATTGACGCCCTGGTCGTCTTAGTTTGTTACATTGCGGTAAAATATGTATTTATGATACACGGTCGAATCTTGCAGTTCCAGTTCCAGCCAGTCTGGAGCATTCACATCGCCGCCACACTGGCCGAGAGATAATATACCACCCGATGCCACCGCGCGCTGGAGGATATACCAAAGAATGTGTTCCTCGTTTGTTCTTCTTCGTTCTAGCATTCCTGGCGCACGGTGGATGCCACAGCCCTAGCCCAGAACTTGAGATGCGCCTTCATGTCCTCCACGCCCTGCCGGTTTGGATCCGGCATTCGCAGGTTGAGCAGCGGCGAATCGGGCCTCCGGATGCTCCAGGCGTGGGATGGATAGATCCGCTCGCGCCGGGGCGATGATCTGGCTGTGCTCGTCGCCAGGCTCACCACTCGCCGGGGCATGAGATCTCCCTCGCTGGGCTTGAAGCCCAGATCTCGCAACCCGCGGACCTCGTCGAATTCCAGCTCGCTCCAGCTCCGCGTGGTCTTGCTACGCTGCGATGATCGCCGCCGCCGGCGCGGGTTTGGCGGAGACGCGGCGGAGGCGGCGATGGCGGCGGGCGAAGATTCGGCGCGCTCGAGCCCTTGGATTGTGGGCTCATCGGCGACGAACAATGCCGATGCCGACGGGATCGTTTCCAGCTTCCGCGTCGTGAATTCGTCCTCCTGGATGGATCGATCAAAACAGACGAAACGAATCGATCAGTGCCTCTCTGGCGAGAAGAAAAAAGCTTTTTTTTTGTGGAGATGCTTTGTGCAAGCAGGAATTGGGACAAAAAAAAATCGTGAATCGAGGAAAGGAGTAAGAGTTTCTCATCGAAACGATCAATGCTGGGCAAAACCAAAGAGCCAAGAGCAACAAAAGGGGGGGAGCAAACAAACAAAGGAAGAAGAACTTCTTTCTTACCTCGTCAAGAACAACCACTCCTCCATCCGAGACACACTCCGGAGAGATCGCGCCTCCGCATTGATCCTCCTCTAGAGGCTCATCCTTAGGAAGCTTGAATCCAGCGCCAGGGAGGTCGCCCGTGCTGAAAACCTTGCCAGTCTCTCGCAAAGGCCGAATCACCGCCTCCATCTCCACGGCCTGGGGCTGGGACTGGATTTCTGGGGGATTCCACGATCTCTTGTTCTTCTTGTCCAGGGATTCCGGGGACTGCCAGCACTGATCCCACGACCAGCAGCAGCTCGATCGGATCCAGTCGCCCAACGGAAAGCTGAGAGCATTGTCGTGGAACCACATCCGATCTAGCTCCGCGAGCAGCCATTGGAAATCGGTGAACTCCTTGCCGTGATCCTTGCTGTTCTTGCTAGTCGGTGGCGTGTCAATCATCTCTAGCTCCCCGATCTCTCGCAACGAGCGATTTCTCCTCCCGATCGATCGACCTGTGCGCGAAATTCCAAGATCCACGCGCTCGCTCGGCTCGCGATCTAGCACCCAATGCCGCCCACTGCCCGACCTCGCTCGACCGCCATAGCCAAGGCTGGATAGAGGAAGAAAGAATCAAAAGAAAAGGAAGAAAGAGAAAGAAAGCGTCCAGTGCCCAGAAAGAGAAGAAGCAAGCCCAAAATTTCTAGGAGAAGCCACACACACACAAAGACAAAGGGATTTTCCAAGCGTCCCAACACGCGATGGCGATGAACTATTCCAACACGTTGCTGCTAAACCCTAAATGCCAGATCGATCGATCTCACATCTTCCTTCCAGCGAAAGAGAAATAAACGCCGAGCAAACGCCTTGATCGCGCTCACTGCGCCATGGAAGACCTGGACCCAGCCAAGCAACGCCAGGCCCACAGCCGTCGGATCCACACCATCCAACGGCCCTCTCTCGAGCAGCAGCAACGCTCGGTCAAACAAACCACGTCAGCGCCAGCCTGGCCGTGACGTGGTGTAAGCGCCGCCTTCTACACAGTGGCGGCGCTCGGTGGGCGTACAGTGGCGCCGCTTCCACCCCGCCGCGTGATTGTGACATCGTAGCGCCCGCGTGGCTGACGACGGCCGTGATTTGTGCCAATGCCTGGAAAGGTGGCGGGCAAATCTCGTTGAGATCCAATGGCAGAGGACAGCTTGGGCTCGACATCCAACGGCTGGCGTTCAAATTTTTGCGTATCCAAGGGGTATATATCTCGGTAGCTACGCTATATACGACAAGCACTATAAAACAAACAAAGCGAGCTCGTCTGCCCATACAAGTGGGAGAAAAAACATGGCTTTTTTTTTTCCACATTGTTTCTATGATGTTATGTTTGTTGTGGGCATACAAATCTTTCCCTAGAAAATGGTGGCTACTTTGGACCCCCCAAAGTCTTGCTAACATTTTTTTCTCATGGAACTTATGATCGTAGAGAATCCATGGAGCTCCAATAATTTACAAGTCAAACTGTTCTTCCTGCTGCTAAAAGGAAAAAGTGTTTTTAAGATGCTAAAAAAAAAAAAGTAAAAAGAAAAAGAGCTTTTCCCCCCATTTTTCCTTCTTCCTGTATGCGTCGATCGACAAATCTATACAAGAGAGTTTGCAGGACGCCCACCTTTTAACCCAGCCTATACATTGTTCAGTAGCAAATACGTAGAGCGTTGTTACAGTAAGCTACACAGTTACAGCCACCACTTCTCGTCCCATGGCCGCCACTGCCTTCATTGCTGGAAGAAACAAGAGCAAAACTTCAGCATCAAACTCAAAAACTTGAGAGAACGTACGTTTTTTCGTCCTGGTAGCTGCGAGCGCGACATCAGCAGCCGCTTGTTTCATCTCGAGGTCTTGATCCGCGAGCTCCGACTCTCTCGCGGCTTGCTCTGCCGCTAGAGCAGCCTGCTCGGCGGCAGCCACAGCCAGAGCCGCGACTCTGGCAGCCTCTTCGGCGGTTTTCCTTCTTTCCAAAGCGTCGGGGTCTAGCTTCGTTCGTTTGGCAATGGAGTCGGTTCTCAGCTTCCGTGTGATGTCCCTCGAGAAAGTCGGCTGTTTGTCATCTTGGTTGTTCCGAAGCCTTTGGAATTTGGCCCTTCCATCAGATGGAAATTCGTCATTAATCTTATAATTCTGATGCACCTGTTACTCAACTCATGGCCCCGTACTTTTAGGATAAGATACAAACTTAGAAGTTATAAGCACAAGCATACAGCGGCATACCTTGATTAGCTTTCCCTCGAGCACCATCGACTTTAGCTTGGAAACCACGAGCTTTTTGAAACTCGGGGGTACAGACTGCCGCTCCTACATTACACAGCAGCCAAAGCTCGAGATCAGGACACAAGCAAGAAAAAGATGGCAAACCTCTATATACTCCGCGATATCAGTTATGCTGGAACCATTTGGTTCTTTCAATGCCGAGAGCGCACCAAGTATAAGATTATCATACCTGACAAGAGGGAGTAACTCACAGCACTGGTAAGCTAGGAGCCAGAATAAACTCACTTGGTACCAAGCATCTTTTTTTCCGAGTCGGGAACGGGAGATAGCTCCTCCTTATCCGAGCCATCCTGGGACTTCGCTCGCCGTCCCCCGGCTTTTTGACCAGCGCCTTTGCCTCTATTTCTGTTGCCATTGTTCGTGGCACTTATGTTTCTCCATTTATCCTGTAGAACCAAAGCAAAAGAGTTAGAAGTTTCAAGGCAGATCTCTCGAAACTCCAAACCTTCAAGTCTACGTTCGATCTGGACACGAGGACTGGCCCGAATTCCTCGTCCTTTTGAATCGCTCGCCATTTCCCAGCTCCATACTTCTCGACCCCAGCTCGAAGCGCGGCCTCCTCCTCAGCAGTCCACTTCTGCTTTTGTTGTCCCACGGTCATGTTCCTGCGGTACTCCAAGTTAGAGATCACAGCCTGGGACGCACGAAATCGCGCGAATTTTGCGAGAATTTCTAGAGCTGCTAAACCCTAGATGAAACCGAAGTACCTGGCGCGTTCAGCTGCTCGCGAAGCCGGTGAAGAACCCTAACCCTAACCTCTGCACAGACCTAATGCAGCAGAGGGAAAGCATGGAGAAGGAAAAACCATCGATCGCATCGCGCAGAAAGCTTCCCGCGCTGGAGCTAGCACCTAGACGCCAGGAGAGCGAGAAGAAGAGCCCTAAACCTAATTCGCTTCTACCCTAGTGCTTGCATCTCCGCTCTGCCCTCTTCCCCCTTTCGCTGGACACCAAAAACCCTATCTTGATCATAAATAGAGTACATCCAAAAACAGTACATATTCACACCTGTCACAACCTCAGCCGCTCGATCGCCTTATCTCCACGTGGCGCGCTGGGAACCTTGGGATTTAGCTGTTCTAGTCCGTTGGATGGATTTTTGAATTGACGAAGGGGATTGGTTCCAGGTAGGTGGGTATGTCTTCCAAAGAGCCCTAAGAATGCTGGTGGCGGCGGATTTCTGGCGCGCTTCCGGTAAGATCGAGTGCTCGTCGATGCGCATCACTGCGCTGCATTTCCCCGGGATTGCTGGATTCGCAAGCTTGCGCGGCATCGATCGCCGCAGGAGGCCAAGATTTTGCAGCAGGAGGCAAAGATTTTGTAGCGGAGCTGCGTCGATCGGGTGCATTCCAGGGCCAGGATTGAAAATCTGCGCGCTCGAGCAGGGCACGGAGGAATGGCTGGAAATTCGCAAGGATCGTCTCACGGCCAGCACATTTGCGAATGCGCTGGGGTTCTTCAAAGGCAAGAGGATCGAGCTGTGGGAAGAGAAGGTCGGGCTTAGAGGCGCTTTCAAAGGAAACCAGGCGACCAGATGGGGTGTGGAGAACGAATCCGCCGCGGTGGAGAGCTACAAGAGGATCACTGGCCATCTCGTGGATCACATTGGTTTTAAAATCTACAAGGAGGACGAAGAACAGCAAACACTCCGGGAAGAGAAAGGTGGTCGCGAGCAAGCTGAGAAGTTTAGCTGGCTCGGTGCTTCGCCGGATGGTCTCATCGAAGGCAACGAGTCCGACTTGTTCGAGAAGAAAGGAATTCTCGAGGTGAAGTGTCCACACATGAGAGGGAGGAGAAACGCTGGAGTTCCATGGACCAAAGTTCCTCACTACTACGTCCCCCAGCTCCAGGGGCTGCTGGAGATAATCGGGAGGGAATGGATGGATTTCTACGTATGGACCGGCAAAAGCAGTGCTTGCTTCCGGGTGACCAAGGATCCGGAGTACTGGACACTGATACACGGGTTGCTCAGCGAGTTTTGGTGGGAGAATGTGATCCCGGCACGCAAGGCACAAGCAGCCGGAGAAACAAACTTGGATGCTTTCAAGCCTGGTGCTGAGCACCCAAAAACGGGGGCGATGATCAAAAAGAGCAAAGAGCTGGGTATGTCGTATCCTTTGATATGGCATGACGTTGGTGGCACTGTGCAGCCCGTGCAGGCTGGACTTAACTTGACACTCTCCATCCTCTCGACCACCAAAGTGGAAAAAACTGCCAAGGAGGAAGCTTGAGCTGTGAGAGAGCCTTTCTTCTTTTGGGATACTCCAAGAGGTTTGTCAGTGATCGTCCTCTTTCGGTTCTGACGACTTGTTCAAGCAGACTGGAAGGATCTAACGTCCTGGAGATCGTTTTCACCAGATCTAAGGTATTGATAAGCAAAGTAGAAGTTATGGAGCTGATGAAAAATTGCTTTGGTTCCCCGTGAGATGAACCAAAGCTTGAGGCTGCTGTTAGAAGAGCGATGCATCGCATCTAGACCTCTTTGTATTGGTGCATCATAGGCAGTCTTCTGGTTTCAGATAGAGATGACTCCGTGTACAAACTGTTTATGCTGTTGCTACGTCTTTCTCCAAGCGTGAGCAGACAAAAACTGCCAGAGATGAACTTACATCAGATATTTGTTTTGTTTTCCTTTCGTCTAAACTTTTTTAGTGTGGGTCTTCTATTTCCATGGATTAGCTTTAAAAGGCCTAAGCATTCTCTTGCATGACTTCATTGTGTGTTCTCATATGGACAAAGTTGGTGCCTTTGCTTGCTGTCAGTCGGTCTAGAATATTCCAAGGGACATATCCTTGGCTTGCCTCATGGGACGGACAGCTCTTTGCGTTCTTTAAGGGATGGATTGGAAAGGCCTCTATCTAAACATTATATCTCTCCTCTTTGGCAGGGTCATTGCCATTGGAGCACAGTGAAGTTGTGAACCTGCACAATGCATGTTCCACAGAAAGGCTACCTTCCGCAGCGCCAATACGCAGCACACAATAGTGATGTTGACGATGAAGAACAAGAAGAAGTGCAGGAGTGCGATGAAGAAAAGCAAGATGAGGACGAAGTGACTCTGTGGCCTCAGAGCTACAGGTATGAAGTTAGGATTGTTAACATTGTTTCCAGATCCAAGTCTCCAGCAATGAGCAAATTCGCTCGAGAGAACTTCTCAATTTTGCTGTATGATTGATCTGCTGTTTTATGGCTGCAGGCAATCCATCGACGCTTATAGCTTCTTGACACCTCCAAAGCTCAGCATTCTTAGCCCCGCGAGCCTGACTCGATCGTTTTTATCCTCCTCGGCTGGCAAGCGGTCGTACTTGCAAGACGACGAAGAAAAGGATCTCAAAAGCCAACTCTTATCAGCGCAGGAACAAGATCAGGCAACTTCCACCGACACTACAACCTTGGTGGAAAGGAAACCTTCCATTGTTACAATCGCTCACGGATTTCCGAGAGAACCTCAAGATGAAGGATGTGGCTTTACGCAGGCATTGCTGAATGGTACGTTTGTCTTTCATTTTCTTTAACTCTTTTTACATTTTCTGTTACAGGAATGAATGTTCTTGCTGGTGTTGGGATCTTGACTACACCTTATGCAGTGAAACAAGGAGGCTGGATTGGATTGGTTCTACTTTTTTCACTAGCCGTCATTTGCTGCTACACCGGTATTATTTTGCGAAAATGTTTGGAAAGCAGGCCGGGGCTGAAGACATATCCAGACATTGGACAGGCAGCTTTTGGAAGCATTGGACGACTGATCATCTCGGTGAGCCACTCAATCAAGTTCGCTTGAGTTCCAACTTTTTAATTTTTGTGTGTCTCACACTGGCCAGATTGTTTTGTACGTGGAACTCTACGTAAGTACACCCCGGAATGCATTGGGATCTCTGACGTTAATCACATTTTTGCTCACAGGCCTGCTGTGTCGAGTTTTTGATACTCGAAGGAGACAACCTCTCGGTATTATTTCCAGGAACACAACTATCTTTGTTCGGGTATACGCTGGATTCACATAAGCTTTTTGCCATTCTTGCTGCGTTATTCATCCTTCCAACAGTCTGGCTACGAAATCTCCATCTTCTCTCTTATGTTTCAGGTAAGCGTGATCTTCTTGTCTTCAGGCAAGCATACTCTAAGCAATTTTCGTTCTCCAGCCGGTGGAGTTGTCGCGTCTCTTATTGTTGTTTTCACGGTCTTCTGGGTTGGAGCAGTGGACGGAATAGGATTCCACGAAACTGGGAAGTTCATTGACATAGCTGGATTGCCAGTGTCGCTTGGTCTGTATGGATTTTGCTACTCCGGACACGCCGTTTTTCCAAACATATACACGTCCATGAAGAACAAAAGTCGATACAATCGCGTGCTAACCATCAGGTATTCAATCTATACTCGCTTGTCTTCTTCTCTGACTGCCTCTCTTGCAGTTTCGTTTTGTGTGCTGGGCTTTTCGGTGCTGTGGCAGCCATGGGATACAAAATGTTTGGCGATAAAACTCGGTCTCAGGTCACTCTCAACATGCCAAAGGAGTTTGTGGCTTCGAAGATTGCACTTTGGACGATCGTAAGCATTGCCGCGCTCTTTCTTTTCCTCTGAGTTACTCATGGTGCTTCGAATGTGCAGGTTATCAATCCTTTTACGAAGTATCCACTGCGTCATATCTTTTTACGTTTTATTTTCTGGCTTAACTCGAAACAGATACGCACTGACGATCACTCCGGTAGCGCTTAGTCTTGAGGAGCTGTTGCCGATCAACAGCTCTCGCTTCCAGCAGCATCTAGCCTCCATTGTCATCCGTACCTTGCTAGTTGCCTCGACAGTTGTTGTTGCCATCTCGGTACCATTTTTCGGTAAACACAGCCTTTGATCGCTATAAGCGCCGATACGAAGTAACCGTGCAGGCTTTGTGATGGCGTTTATCGGATCTTTCCTTAGCATGGCAGTGGTAATGTTTCTTTTCTTCTTTTTGCTGTGGTAAAGCTTATGGTGCTTATGTCTCAGTCCTTAATTCTTCCTTGTGCGTGCTACATGAGAATCAGAGGCAGCAAACTAAGCTTGATGGAGGTAAGCTAAGTGTTTTTCTCAAGGCAAAAAAGCTTAAGCGTGCTTTTCCAGCTTACTCTTGGCATTGGTATAATGCTGGTTGGAATTGTTTGCGCTGTGGGAGGAACATTATCTTCCCTTGACGCCATCATCAAACAATTGAAAAACTAAGTTACATCCTTTTAACGTTGCTCTCGGGCTTGATTCTCTTGAGAGATACTAATGCTCCACTCGCCAATTATTAAAGATTGTGTAAGTTTTGTTCCATCGCGACAGTGAGCTTGCACGAGTCATCTCGAGCTTGCACGTTTGTTCTTGGTACGCTTCCCTTTGCAAGAAAATCTATGCTAATTGGCTTGTCTTTCCAGTTTTGCTTGGAAAGGTTCTCATAACGTATCAAGAGCTAAGATTGTAAGTTATCTACTTTCTACTTTACGAAAAGAATCCTTGTTTTCGTTCCACCTACGTCATTTCTAATTTTTTTTCTCAAAAAATATTTACATCATTTTTCTCCTCCAATCCTCTTTTTTTTTTTGTTTTCGTTTTTCCTGATCTCTCTCACGCTAAAAGAATCTACCAGCCGCCCATGAGATTGCCTGGCGCTAACTTTTTTGAGTCCTCCAAAATCGAATCTCACGATGAATCCTCCAAAAGAAAAAAGAAGCAAAGAAGAAAGAAAATGAAAAGAGTGCCTGACCTTCGCTCGCTCGCTTCAGGGGGGGGCCGCGTTATTGCCTCCTTCCTCCTACAAAAGAATCGTTGATACTATGGTTGATTTTGTTGTTCTTGCCGATAGTAGTGTTGTTGGTGTTGCTGTAGCTATGGTTTTTGTTGGTCTTTTCTCTCGATGATCTCTCCATCGTTGCTAGTCGCATCATCCCATTCCTGGCGATCGAGCCATCGCCCAAGATCGCCCTCTTCTTCCCCTCTTCTTGTTCCTGCCGCTGCTGCTTTAGCCTCCACTCCTCCTCCACCGTCTTCTGGTCGTGGAAAGACAGCGATCCACACCCAAACCCCGTGCCTGGGAACGTCGCCTCCACCGGCAGCCTCGAGCACTTGAGGCACATAAAGTCGAGCGCGAACGTCTCCTCAAAGTCCCCATTCTCGAAGCATCCACCGCAGTTGTCACACCTGGGAACGCAGCTCAGGCAGCCCCGGCACTGCTGCTCCCCCGCGGACCACTTCTCGTGGCACTTGGTCCTCCAGCAGTCGTAAACCACCCGGAGAAGATCACACCTCGGGCATGCTTCCACGTCCAGGACCCTGTCGCCGTAGCCCCTGTGCGTGAGCCTATAGTAGAGCGGCCAGCACTTGTCCGGGCAGAGCGCCTCGCGCAGCTCCTGGATGCGTTCCTTGGTGATGTCGTTCAAGCCCTCCACGCGCAGCCGCCGCAAGCGCTGGTATCCGGGCAGTGTGTGCCGCTGAGCCATCTTCACGACACCCTCGATCGTCAATCCCTTGCAACAGGACACGTCCAACTGGAAAGAACAAGATCACCAACAAAGTGTGTAAGAAACGCAGAAAACAAAGAGAAAACTTTGCTCACCTTTGTAAGCATGGTGTTGCCAACGAGAACAATCTCCAGCGACGCATCCGTGATCCTCTGGCAGTTCGCGAGCTTGAGGCTCTGGAGGCGTCCCTGGGCTCGGAGCGCCAGGATCAGCAGCGCGGTGTCCGTGAGCTTCAAGTCCAGTGGCGGATCCAGCCTTAAGTTCTGCCAGTGTGGAGCCTCGCGCCTCACCATCTCCAGCAAAGGCTTGCAGACCATCTCCAGGGAAAGAAGCTCCTGGAGCCCGAGGTAGTGGATCACGTACCGGAAAGCCTCGTGTGGAGGGCCGGGAGATGGAAGAACCTCTCGCTCTTGTGCGCCCTGCTTGAGGATCTCCGCGGTGACCACCTCGGCTGGAAGTTGGCAGCAAATCGCTGGGTTGATCCCAAGCCAGTAGCAGTACCACTGGAGAACGGAGACGAAATCCCTCCCATCGCCACACCAGCCCAACTTCGTCCCATACGAGGAGAACTTCTCGGGCGGGCGCGAAGGAAATGGAGCAAAGTTGGCATACTCGAGACCGCCGCCATAGCTGTGATCGTAGTACGGTGGAGGAGGCTGCTGCCCGCTTGTGTCGAATTCCACCCACGCGACATCGCCCCAGGAGTAACACGGTCGCTGGAACGTGAAGCCTTTGTCCAGAGATGACGCCATAGCCGCCTTAGGTCTTCTCCAAAAGGGAGGAAAGGGAGGAGAGAGAAGAAAAAGGGAAATCTGGAGGGAATTGAGAGCTAGAGAGAGCGAGAATGAGACCCTTCCCCGCCGCGCACTGGAAACGCGCCGAAGAGCGAAACCCTAGGTTGGATCCGATGCGCCGGGCAGTAATACGCACCTCGATGGAACGGCCGCGCGGCGGGGAAGGCGTCAATCCGATCGGCGGGGGAGATTGGAGCGCGGCGCCAGTGGAACCGGCGGCGTAGCAGCAGCGAAGAACAAGAAGAGGGAGCGCGCAAACACGCAAGAGCGATCCACACGCACTGCCGGAGAAAAAGAATAAAATTATTAGGGCACTCTTGGTGACGTGGATGCCGTACGCTAAATGGGCAGTGCTTACTTCGCGAATCATTCAAGAAATGCAGGCGTGTTCTTTGGATCCACAGCAGCACGATTGGGACGTCCGCAAGCCCTAATTTGCAAACCCTAGATTTCAAAATCTTTTTTAAACTTCTGAGTTTGCGCGCGAAAGCTTTCACTTCGTCTGGAAGATGTTTTGGATCATCTTCTGGGGAGAATTCGCTGCTGCTGCTTCGATCTGGGCGATTTCGTCGCTGGAGAGCCGCCAGCCAAGCGCGCCCAGGTTCTCTCGTGCTTGATCCAGGGTCTTGACTCCGGGGATTGGGATCGTTCCCTTGCAAATGCACCAGTTGATTGCTACCTTTTGGACGAACGCAAAAGGCAGAAGAAAGATCTCAGCAGTGGAATCGAATTTGATTACCTGTGACATTGTCTTCTTCCTTTTTCTCGCGATCTCTTCCAGGGCGTCCAGCAGCGGTGTAATTCCCGGCAAAACTCGAGAGAAGAGCAATCCCCTACGCGTACGTGTTAACGTAATGGTGGATCAAAAGAGAATTTTTCTGATACCGCGGTCCCTGTGGAAGGCTGGTTGACGACGCTTGGTATTTTCCCGTGAGCATTCCAAGTCCTAAAGGACTGTAAGCAATGACTTTGATTCCCAAGTCATCGCACACGGATTTAACCTCCATTTGATCGGTCCCCATGCTTAGAAGAGAGAATTGGACCTGAAAATCAAACAAGAAGTTACAAAGAAGAAAGGACTATCTAGACCTGGGCAGAGCTTAGAGGAACTCCTTGCTTTTCCAAATACTTGTGGATTTTTACCAGTTGCTTCGGTCCATAGTTACTTACACCCACGGCCTTCACAAGTCCCTGGCAGTAATTTTATCATGTTTTGCTCTTACCGTCGTAGCAAACTAACTTGGAGCATACCTCCTTGTAAATTTCCGCAAGGCCGGACCACAGTGCTTGTTCTTGGAATGGAGCATAATTTGCAGCTGACCAATGCAGCTGACCAATTCCAAGCTGTTCCATTTGTAATCTTCGCAAAGATCCTCTGAAAACCAAAGAAAACAGACTTCCAAAATCACGTAAGAAGGAGAAAACTTACTTGCAAGCTTGAACCATTTGCCATGGTGTAACTCGCCATGGATAAGCCGCAAACTTGGTGGCAATCACAATATCTTTTTGAGTGCCTGGGAAAAACAGAGTTTCATTGAGAGAAGCGCAAATGTGGATTAAGATCTTAAACCTTGTTGGAACTCTCGGATAAATTTGCCCAGAAGAATCTCGCTTCGCCCATTCAGTTTTCCTGTGCCATACGAATCCGCTGTGTCAAAGAAATTAACACCTTTGGAAGTTGCAAAGTTGAAGAGCTGCTGAAGCTCGTTGTCCATGGAGGGATTGTATCCCCACAGCAGTGTGTTACCCCATGCCCAAGTTCCCAATCCCATTGGAGAGACCTTTACAGGGCCAAGCTTCACCTTTGCCATAGAGAATCTCAGAATGGATTGATTTCTGGAATAATCTTCCAGTTACCTTGTCCCATGGCCAAAGTGCTGGCATGAACGGTAGTAGTGAAGACATAGATTCTCGAGGGAAGAAGCTGTGAAATAAAAAAGACTTTAAAAGCTGCTTGGATAATTTAAAGGTTCTGTGAAACAAAGGTTATATATCCAAATCTTGTTGTGCAGAATGAGATTTATTTTCTCAAAATTGTGTGTGCAAAGCCTTAATGAGACTTTGAAAAAGAATAATTAGTTCGTATTGTACAAAATTTGGTGTGCCAACACCTGAATAAAGAAGCCATAAGATGGATTTTATTCAGGAAAAAAACACTGGCATCCTTCACCCGTTCAACGCCCCTCACTCTCGCACCGTTGGTAAACTTCCGCTTGCAGACGGAACATCTCAGGCGCTGTTGGTCATGCTCCTTGTTGTTAAAGTAATCAAATCTAGTCTCCTGGCCGCAAAATATACACGGAACTAGCTTTTCAGTGCCTTGCTTAAACGCCATTGATCTCTTTCTCTTCAGGCTTTTCTCCAAACCGGGCTTGCCCAGCCCAAGCGGCACCCTACAGTCACTCAAAATCTGAGCTTCACGAGGCCTTGGATTAAAAAATCTTGAGCTTTCAAGTGGCACAAAATCATGTAAAACTGCACTGGAAGATGAAGATATGTGCATAAAATCATGTAAAACTGGCTGTGAAGTTGAAGATGTTATGTTCTTCCTGTGCATGCTTGAAACCTCCAAATCAGGCAGTGCCCTTAGTTGGCTGTTCATGTTTGATATAAGAGCAAAACGATCCTCTTCATCCATTGTAGTAGCACCACCACCACTAGAACTTCCTTCTGTTTCATCTGATGACAATAACGACGACTCCGGCGAGCCCCCAGATCCAGCAATGGCCTCCGGTTTAGCATCAAATCCCCCAGCTTCATCTATACCTAGCGCTTCATCGCGAGTTACGTTTCCTGTGATTATAGTTTTCACAATTATTGAATCCGTCTCCCTCCCCCTCAAAGATGTAATATGTTTGTGACAACTTTCGAGCGATGGGTGCCAGGTTTCCGTGAGAAGAATCACACCTCTGGCACCCCGATCATCTGGCCGCATCTCATCACCTATATAAACTTTTTGGAAACTTTTTGAGTGTAACTAGAAACCTTGGATTCATAAGGTCCTAATTATAGTGAAAAAAAGAAAGGAAATATAAGGCCATAAAACCTTTAGGCCAAAACCCAAAACCCTGAATTTTGTGTGTGTTTGTTCTTGTTCGTGTTCTTCCGCTGCTTCGCCACTTTTTTTCGTCTTCCCCAAACCAGGTTTTGCTCTTGCAATCTCCATCACTCTAGTGAAACATAGCTGCTGCTCGATGCCCAGCCACCGGAACCAAAGCACCCCAACACAAAGGATCCCGCTTGTCTACTCGTCGACGACGTTGACAAGCTCGTACTCCACAGCGGATAGATTGTTGTCTTCCTTGACTGTGAAACTCTCGTCGGCTGCTGGCTCCACCCTTCCCCATTTGTCCACCGCCAAGCGCATGGACCCCTTGAACATGTCGATCTTGGCGTTTCGCAGGTTTACTGTCACTCCTGGCTTCATTAGATCCACTGCAAAAAAAACGAGAGAGAAACAAGGAGTTAGATCCAATCCAAAGAACTTGCAAACAGATGTAAGAACGAGACGATCCAAAGAACTTGTAAGAACGAAACTATTCACAGAACTTGTAAGAATGAAACCATCGCACAAGAGCTAGATCCAATCCAAAGAACTTGAGCCAAGCAAGAAAACCAAGCACTAGCGAAGCAACTCGAAGCTGAAAGAACGAGTGAAAATACCTTGTTCGTTCCTGGCAGTGAAGATGATCACTCCAGTATCATCACCGACGACACACTCCGCGATTCGGACCTGGCGAACGTTTTGGCCGTCGGGTCTCGCTTTCCTGAGCACCATTTTGGACGAGACCACCTTGACGACGAGCGTGTGCCCGGTGGTGCCCGGGCGGAGCTGGTCGACCTTGATAAACACGGGCTTTCGCAAGGAAGCGGCCATCTACACACTCGCAAACACCACACTCGAGAGCAAAATTTCGCAAAGAACGGCGAATGCGGCGCTCAATCCTGGGGATCGCAGCGAATTTACCTGGACAGCGCCAAGAGATGGATCGATCACCGAGCGAGCGCCACGGACGAAGAAACCCTAACGCGCAAAATTTCCCTCTCGTGCGTGCCCTAGACGAAGCTTCGAAATGGATTATAAAAAGTAAAATCGGGGCCGTTAACTCCTTTTGATTTACCTCTGACAAGGGTGATAAAGGCCGTCCGAATATTCTAATCGCATAATTTTGTCATTTTCCCAGAGAGGTAGTGACGCATCAACATCGAAATCTTCTCTCCGTTTGGTAACAGGTACGTGTCCTTCTCTCTGGCGGCCTGCCAATTCTATTCACTCCAAGAACCCTAAAAATCTCTGGCCCCGTTGGGATGGTGGGAGAGGGGAGGTTTTCACGGTAGCTCGCAATGCCACCAGCAGCGAGGGGGGTCCACATGGAATTCGGGTAGAGATGCTCCCATCGATCGATCGATCGGCATAAACAAAATGGAATGGAAGGTTGCTCGCTGTCTACTTCAAGAAGGTTAGGTTCTTGCTCGCCTCGCCCAGGGATATTTCTTGCCTTGAGCGCGCAGATTTCCAGCGAGCAGCGCAGCGCCAGCGCCAGAGAGCCAATGCCGGCAGATTCTTAGCTTGCAAGGCCTCCTTGCGAGAGATTTCGGTCGATTCCAGGCGCCGGTAAGTGAATTGGCAGGGATTTCGGTTGTTCTTGGCGATATTTCGAGCGGATCTCACGATCTTTGGCAGCTGTCGGCGAGATTTGGGACCTGGAACACCGGCATCGAGAGAATCCCGCGATAATCCACCTCAATGGCTCTGTTCCCGTCGCCAAATCCCAAGAACAAGCCGTCCTGGAAGCTCCTCCCGATTCTCATCCTCGTCGTCTTCTCCCTCGCCTTCTTACTCTTCCGCGACGCTAGCAATCCCTCGCAATCCCTCGCATCTTCTTCTTCTTCTTCTTCCTCCTCCTCTCCCTCCTCGCAGATCGTCCTCGTCCCCGTGAAGAACACAATCTCGGTCCCAATGACGGTGGAGCACCTCCCGCACGATCTCATGACCGCGCTCGTCCACTACGCCTCCACCGACACTACGCCACAGCAGACCCGCGAGGAGATCCTCATGACCGCCAAGGTCCTCGCCAGCCGCGGCCCCTGCAACTTCCTCGTCTTCGGGCTTGGCCACGATAGCCTCCTCTGGAAGATGCTCAACTACGCCGGAAGAACGGCGTTCCTGGAGGAGTCCGAGGATTGGATCCGGCAGATCAGCGAGAAACATCCGGAGCTAGAGACCCATATCGTGGAATACAGCACAGTTCTCACCGAGGCCGATCAGCTGCTAGAACACGCTCGATCCAATCGAAAGGGGAAGTGTACTGCCGTCCAGAATTTGCTACTCTCCGAGTGTAAGCTCGCGCTCAATGGGCTGGCGGACGAGCTCTTCCAGGTGGAGTGGGATGTGATCATGGTGGACGCGCCGCGCGGGTATTTCCCCGGCGCGCCCGGGAGGATGGCGGCGATCTTCAGCGCGGCCGTGATGGCGCGGAGCCGCAAGACTGGGAATGGGACGGATGTGTTCGTGCACGATGTGGAGCGCCCCGTGGAGCGCAGCTACTCGGAGGAGTTTTTGTGCCGGGAGAATTTGGTGGAGGAATCGGTGACGAGCCATCTGTGGCATTTTAGGGTTCTTCCCAGCCCCGTGGGCAGGCACGAGTTTTGCGTCGCATCGTCTTCCTCGGGGGGATCTCCCGCCAATTGAGCTCGTGTGATCTTTCCTCCTTTCTAGAGAAATTTAGGGTTCTTCCAAAGGGCATTTCTCGATGCTATGATTTGTCGCATTTTTTTTATCAATCGTGTTTGCGCGCGTCTTCTCGACGAGAGAGCTAGATCTTCCTAGGACGAATCTTTCTTAAAGATACCTTCTTCCCCTAGGACAATATTTTAGGGTTCTAGCGCGGCAATGGCGTTTTCATCGCGGGGGCGTGGGAGGCAACGAGGGAGGGGTTTTGCCGTGGGAATGCGCCCGGTGGCTGAGGCGGATCGCATCACGATCATGGACCGGCTCCAGCAGTTCCGAGAGAGTAGCTCCCAGGGTAAGCAAAGATCGAGAGAAAATTTCGGGAGAAGCGAGTGATCTTTTCATCCATTGGCAGAGCTTACGTTTGAGGCGGATCTAAGCAACCACGATCGGGCAGTAGTGCACAGTTTCTGCCAGAAGATGGGATTTAAATCCAAGAGTTATGGGTAAAAAATTCCGGCTGGTTTCTCTAGCGAGAATATATATAGATATATATTTTTGTTTCGTTCTTGCAGTAAAGGTAGCGATCGGCGTGTCACAGTCTTTAAGAATGTGAACCGGAAGGAGGCCAATGCTACCGTGACTCCGATTTTCTTTTGTCGAGAAACTAAGGAAGTTCTCGTGGAGATCTTTTCGCAGTTTCCTCCTAGTGATGAAGAAGGAAATGTTGCTATCAATGCTCCGGCTGATGTAGATCCTGTGCTGAGCTCTGCTGCTCCGGAGAAGGTCACGGCACTGTTCTTGACTCCTGCCGAGATCGCCAACAATGTGTCGCTTCTTTCAAAGAAGAGACAGACAACGCTCAAGAAGGTAATGTATGAGGGATTTTTTTGCTTGTCTAACGAGCCTCACTCAATGCAGCTGACAGAGACGACGCAAAAGCTTCCGATTTGGAAGTTTCGAGATGTTATCACGACTACTGTGGATCAAAACAAGGTACGCACTCGAGAATGGAAGTTTCATCTTTGCTCCGTTCCCGTTATCATAGGTTGTCATTATAGCGGGTGAAACAGGCTGCGGCAAATCAACACAAGTAAGTTTTACATTCATTTTATGGTTTGCGATTTTCATAACGATCGTGTCTTGCAGGTCCCTCAGTACTTACTTGATCATATGTGGGGGCAAGGGAAATCGTGCCGGGTGGTATGTACTCAACCTCGTCGAATTTCTGCTACTTCAGGTTCTTTGGTCTGAATGTGGAGTTTATGGATTTTAATTCACTTAGCTCTTCAGTTGCGGATCGTATCGCGACTGAGCGTGGAGAGGCTATTGGTGAAACGGTTGGCTATCAGGTAGGCGTTCCTTTCGGCACATTTATATTTTTTCTTCGGCTTGTACCTTGTTTAAATAGATCCGACTAGAAAGCAGAGGTGGTCCTCATAGCTCCTTAATGTTTTGTACCAATGGGGTACTTCTCCGGAAGCTCGTAACGGCGAAAGAAGCTGGAGTTTCAGCAACGCATATCATTGTGGTACGTTCATAGTCACTAATACTAACTAGTTTTTACAACACAATTGTAGGACGAAATTCATGAACGAGATTGTAATGCGGACTTCTTGCTTATCGTTCTAAAGTGAGTTTTTGTGTTCTAGGCACTGGTCCGTGCCTGAAAAGTGTCCTTACAATTGTTTGTGCAGAGGATTGTTATTGGCTCAGCCAGACCTCCGATTGGTTTGTTTTGACTTCTTACTTCATCACATTATCAACATCCATGATCTTCACAGGTTCTCATGAGTGCCACTCTTGATGCGGAACTGTTCTCTTCGTATTTTAACAACTGTCCGGTTTTGAAGATACCGGGTTTTACTCATCCAGTAAGTGCTGATTTATGATGTTCATTCCAAAGTATCGTTTGTATTGACACTGGTTTTCTAGGTGACCGTGTACTACTTGGAGGACGTTCTCTCCATAACCAATTTCGAGGCCAATGCTAGAAAGCTCACTGCGGAGCCTGCGGCAGATAGCCTTTTGCTCAGCGAGGAAGATGCAGATGAGATGGACAACGCGTTGACATGTGCTTGGTTAGATGATGACTTTGAGCAACTTCTGAGCTTGGTGACCGAGAATCCAAGACCTGAAGTCGTAGATTACCAGCATTCGTCGACAGGTATTACGGCCTTAATGGTTGCAGCTGGGAAAGGAAGGGTCGAAGACGTCGGCGTGCTTCTATTATTGGGAAGTAGCTGCTCGCTTGTGTCACAAGAGGGACAGACAGCTTTAGACATGGCCGAAAGTAACGGGGAAGAGGAGGCTGCAGAAACGATAAGGGAACACATCAAACAGGCAACAGAAGTCCAAACTGCAGAAAAGGAAGCCGAAATTCTTGGGAAGTACCACGGCTCTGTGGATCAAGAAGAAGTAGACATTCTTCTGATCGAGCGTCTACTCCATACTATCTGTAGTGATCCTGGGGACGGAGCTGTTTTAGTGTTTCTTCCTGGCTGGGAGGATATTACGAGATGCAGAGACCAGCTGATGGCGTCACCATTTTACAGCGACGAAACCAGGTTCCTCATATTACCTCTGCATTCGATGATTCCTATGAGCGACCAAAAGAAGATTTTTACGAAGCCACCGCCCGGCGCGAGAAAGATTGTCTTGGCAACCAACATTGCTGAGAGCGCCATCACCATTGACGACGTTGTCTACGTGATTGATAGCGGGAGGATGAAGGAGAAAAGCTATGATCCTTATACAAACGTCTCTACTTTCCAGACAACGTGGGTTTCAAAGGCAAGTGCACGACAACGGCAGGGACGCGCAGGTCGCTGCCGTGCGGGCTTCTGCTATCATTTGTTCTCCAAAGTACGTGCTGCATCCTTGGCCGACTTTCAACTTCCTGAGATGAAACGAACTCCTCTGGAAGAAGTTTGTTTGAAGGTAAAGATGATGCTTTGTCTTACAGTTGTAGTGTCTGATCATCTCTTCAAATTTTCTTTTGCAGGTAAAGCTTCTCCAGCCGCGTGGTGATGTAAGGGATTTCTTGTCGAGTGCTTTGGATCCACCACTCGACATATCCATCCAGAACGCTATGTCACTACTCCAAGACATTGGTGCACTTACACCTGCGGGAGAGCTTAGTGAACTTGGACAACAACTTGGCTCGTTGCCTGTTCATCCAGCTACGAGCAAGATGCTGCTGCTGTCGATACTACTCAACTGCCTGGATCCAGCACTTACTATCGCCTGTGCAGCCGGATACCGAGACCCTTTTGTGCTACCTATGGCTCCGCACCTGAAGAGAGAGGCTTTTGCTGCAAAAAATCATCTGGCTTCAAAGTACGGGGGATACAGTGATCATTTAGCAGTCGTTGCTGCGTTCGACGGATGGGAAGCGGCGAGAAAAAGGGGTCAGGAGTATAGTTTCTGCTCGCAGTACAGTTTATCACCAGGTGTTATGAACATGCTGGACGGAATGAGAAAGCAACTACTCAGAGAGCTGACGTTGAAGGGGTTCGTCAAGAGAGATCCGCGGCCATGCAGCTTGAATGCAAAGGATCCAGGCATTGTCCGAGCAATACTCTCCGCTTGCTTATATCCGTCCGTGGCAAGAATTCTGCCCCCTGATGAAAGTGGTCGGAAGGTTATTGCTCAGATAGCCAGGGGCGAGAAGGTTCGGATCCATCCTCAGTCATCGAACTTTCGACTGTTGGTTCAGCAGCAGTTCCCGGATCTTAACGTTTACAACGACCACCTTCTTGTTTTTGAAGAAGTCACTCGCGGAGAATCTCAGGTGTATATCAGAAACAACACTTGCGTCAAGCCTCATCCACTTTTGTTTTTCTGCACCGAGCTGTCCGTGGCGCCTCTTAGATCTTACCGAGAGGAAGAGTATGAGATGGCTGGTCCTGCCGAGAGGGAGCTTATGGAGGCTGCGGACGACACACTGGCAATGGTGATAGATCGATGGCTAAAGTATCAGACGTCGTCGGTCATGGCGGCACAGGTTTATTGTCTGCGCGAACGGCTTTTATCGGCTTTGCTCTTTAAGGTACGTGAAAAAAGAGAAGATAAGTTCTTTCTTTCTAGAACTGCGAAACTTCCGCTTTGCATTCCAGGTGAAGAATCCGAGTGCCAACTTACCGGATATGCTCGCTGCGTCCGTGCATGCACTCGCCTGCGTTTTCTCATACGAAGGCGCATTGAGTATCGACGACTATCGTACACCTCCTCCACGAGGATATGTAACACAACAACAAGAACAACGAAGACCACATCAACATGAAAGAAGAAGCTCGAGACAGGAAAATTCATCTTTTGAACGTTCTTATCGAGCTAAGACCAAGTATGTTCCGGTTGTGAGGCCAAGGAACTAAAGCAAGGTTCGCTTTGTTCTGTAAACTAGATTTGTTTCTGACTCAATGTTTAGGGGTTTGCAGCTTCCACAATGGCAGCAGCATGTCCTTGCGCTTCCGTCTCCCGGCCTGGAATGCTCTCGAGCATGGGTTTTCTCAGAAATCAATGCTATCAGCTCCAGAAGAGAGTGGCATTTCCCGCAAGAAGCTGGACACGCAGATTGGCTACTGTCGCATATATGGAGAATTCGAGCAGCAACCCAGTCGCCAAGCTCGTTAGTTCACTCCCTATCGTGGGTCTGTTCATGAGGATACTCAGTGACGAAGGTGGAATAGGAGGTGATAGAGTGGATTTTCCGGACTTTTACACAAGGGTGCAGAAGAGATGTCCGGAGGACGCGTCAGGAGCGTTCGCTCGTTTTGTAGAGCGCCACGGCAAGGTAGATTTCTACTTCGCAACTAAGAACTCATTTTTTTCCCTTTCTTCTTCCAGGTAGCGAAGCCAATGTTCGTGCTTGTTTGGTGCTGGGTAGCGGCAGTCGGCGCTGGTCTCCTTAAAAGTGAGGACATTGCAATGGCGGCTTCTCGTCTCAGAGTTTCTTACGACGTCCAGTACGAGGTCGACTGCTTTGGCCTTCTTATGGACGAAGCTCTACAGGTTCGGGAGCATCTCTGTCTTCACAGTTTCGTAATCTTACGCAGCTTGTTTTCGTTTAGAAACGAAGAAAGTCTAATTCACCAGTTCCGGACGTGCCAATGATCACACGGATCGATAAAGCTCTAGACGGGATTTGTGCGTGCTCCATCGGGACAAAAAAAATCTCCAAGGAGGACGCTGAGCTGCTCTCCAAGATGATGTCGGCAGTCTTTCCGGGAGTCCCAGCACGCGAGATTGATGAGCTCGTCGAAGCTCGAGTCTCCAGTGCAAGCTGAGCGAACAAAACTAGAGGTACTTTTGATTTTTACACTATTAAAATTTTTTTTGCTCTCACAGCACAGTTTGAGATCTCCGCTACTCACTTAATCCTTGATGTGTTTACTTTCTCTAAGGATTTTCTTGGGAACTAAGAGATGTTTCTACGATTTTACTTTGAGAGTTTAGTCTTGCAAAGCTGAGAGATTGAAGATCCTTTGCTTCTCAAGCGTTGTTTGGCTTTCCAGGTCTCTCAGCTTTGACGAGAAAACTGTCATGTTTCTACCTTGCGATTTCGTCGCTAAACAGGTTCGCAAAGCTTTCCTCGTTTTCTTTGCTTAAAGGTCACGCCATTCCTCTACAGGGAAATGCCATGCTTTATACAAACGTCCTCTTCTACAAGAGCCTTCTTCTCCAAGACCAACGGCGAAAGCCAAGAACCACCGAGAAGGAAGTTGGAAAGCTAGCGAAAAACCAAGAACCACCGAGAAAGGGGAAAAAATGGAAAAGGTAAATTTACACATTGCATTGATCGAAGCTCACGACTTTGGATCCATGGCGTGGAGCTTGGCCAGCCTCTTGCGCTCCTCCCCGCGCAGCTTGGCGCCGGGAGTGAACTTCCTCTTGCACCTCAAGCAGCGCCGCCGCGGTTGATCGTGCCGGTGGTTGTTAAAGTAGTCGAATCGCGTCGCGGATCCACAAAAGATGCATGCCACCGCTGCCGGATCATCCCTGCGCCTCAAATCGCTGGCCGGAGGAGGAGGAGGAGGAAGAGGAGGGCGAGACAAATCCTCCGCGCTCGCTGGAGAAGTCACTGCGCTGCTCGATCCCAGAGGCGCTCCGGCAAACCCCAGCGTGAGCCATGGTTTCTTGCCGCCAAGGTCGGGAGCGCCAGTGTCTCGAGACGAGGACGACGATGACGACCTCTCGCAGCTCGCGCTCGCGCTCGCGCTCGTCGATGGGCTCCTGCAGAGCGCGAGGCCCAGATCGAGCTCCTCCCCCGGACGATCCTTGTGATCTTGGGCGATCAAAGTCGCGATTTGGAGCTCTAGCTTGCGGAGGAGAGTGGTGTCCTGGTGGCGGCGATGATCATCCATGGAAGAGAAGAAGAGAGGAAAAGGAAGAGAAAAAAGCAATGCATTACTTTAGCTTTAGGGTTTATATAGAGCCACCGACAATAAAAGGGAACTGACGTGTCTAGAAAGATTTATATGAGAGCTAATTTTTACTATGGAATTAAAGTCGTTATGTGACTAGGATTTAGGGTTAATGTAACTCTTAAAGTAAAGTAGTTTAGGGTTAGGGTTTATAGCCTTTTAAAGCCCTGGTTTAGGGCTTTAGCGGGAATGGGGCGAGGGAAAGGAGGGAAGAGAGGGCGCACGCAGCGCAGGGATTTTCGCGATGGCCGCGAGAATGTGTGGAAGAAGCCCCGGGAGCAGGGCGATGGCGATGGCGACGGCGATGGCGGCTGGGCGCCGTTTGTCGTGGAAAGTCCCGCATTTGAGGAGTATTACAAGGTTCTTTGCTTTTCTCTTTCGTTCTCGTTGTAGTGAGTGAGATTTTGGCTTTCTTAGAAGCAAGGAATTGTGCCCGAGAGTGAGTGGGAGCAATTCATGGCGTGCTTGCGCAAGTCTTTGCCGACGACCTTCCGGATCAATGGAGGGTATGTTCTTCCTTTGCGTTTGCAGCGTCGATCTCAATGCATTCTTTTTTACTTGCTTGGAGTTCCAGTGGACAGTATGCTGAATGCATTCGAGACCAAATGCGGCGAGATTTCTTTGATTGTTTGAAGGATGAAACCGAGGTAGTAATTCGCAGAGTTCTTTTCCTCATTTTCATTTCCAAACTTTGGCTGTAAAGATTGATGGCGAAGTGATTGAACCTCCTCGGACACTTCCTTGGTATCCGAACGATCTCGCCTGGCATTTGAGTTTTTCGAGAAGGCAGCTCCGCAAAGCTTCTATACTGCAAAGGTGACTTTTCCGTATAGGCGTTCGAGTCATTGCTGACTATCCGAGCAGAATACACGAATTTTTGAAGGAGGAGAATGAGTTGGGTAATATCACGAGGCAAGAGGCTGTTAGCATGGTGAGTGTTGAAATGCTTAGAGATCTCCTGACAACGTTTTTCTTTCTTCTCATTGTAGGTTCCTCCTCTATTCCTGGATGTGAAACCGAATCACCGCATCCTTGACAGTAAGTTGTAGTTTGGAATTTACGCCTTTTAACCTTCTTGTGTTTTTGTGACAGTGTGTGCAGCGCCTGGTTCTAAAACTTTTCAACTTCTGGAAGTCATTCACAAGGACGATCAGCCTGGAGCTTTGTCCCAAGGAATGGTGAGTTGGCCTTATTTCATCGATTTCTCTGACGCCATCCATTTACAAGGTCATAGCCAACGACCTGAATGTCCAACGTTGCCATCTTCTTATACATCAAACAAAGAGAATGTGCAGTCCAAATATTCTTGTTACGAACCACGAGGCTCAGCACTTCCCAGGGCTAAAGAAGAAAAAACTTGAAGGTAGAAGCTTCTTGATCTGCGTCGTGCGTGTATCAAAGTGTTTGCAGTCGATGTGAAGGATAAGGAACCTTCGATAGGAGATGATACGGGATTATTGTTCGATCGCGTATTATGTGATGTACCGTGTAGCGGAGATGGTACCATGCGCAAAGCTCCTGATCTCTGGAAAAAATGGTTCGTCTTTTCTGGTTCTATGCTGTCTGATATTTTAAGTGAAGTATAGGAGCCCCGGCATGGGGAATGGTTTGCATTGTCTTCAAATACAGATTGCTATGCGAGGTAAAGTCTTGTTTCATCTGGATGACTTTACAAACATGTTTTGAAATTTGTTTAGGTGTCGCATTGTTGGAAGTCGGAGGGCGTATGGTTTATTCAACATGTTCTCTCAATCCAATAGAGGATGAAGCGGTTGTCGGAGAGGTAGCATTTCTGTTTTCATAACTTACAACGTATATTGAATTTTGTGCGCAGATCCTTCGACAAAGTGGTGGCTGTATGGAGTTGCTCGATGTTTCGTCCGAGCTTCCAACGCTGAGGCGAAGGCCTGGCTTAAAATCTTGGAAGGTCCTTTGTTTTTCTCTTGCAACGTGAGCCTTCTCTGATTTTGAAAGTGTGTCGTATCAGGTGCGAGGACGCAGAAGATGGTTTTCCTCTTACCATGAAGATAAATATCGAGCTGTTCTACCCAGCATGTTTCCATCTGGAAAGAGAATGGCCCAAATCACACGAGAGAGAGAGGGGGACATGGACAGTGGAAATAACGTCGAGAACCCCTCTGAAGAAGCCACTGAGAGCGAAGCAGAGGTTTCAGAGCTCCCTCTTGAGCGCTGCATGAGGATTTTGCCGCATGATCAGGATACAGGCGGGTTTTTTATTGCCGCTTTCCAGAAAGTGGGACCATACAAACGTAAGTGTAGTTATGAATCTTCGTCCTCGCATTCATGTTGTTTCTGTTCAGGCGTTTCAAACAGCTTCTCTGGGAAGAAGTCTCGTGGCCGTGGAAAGGCTCCGCAAGAGGCCGAGGAAAACGTGGACAACGATACGGAGAATCCTGAGGCTGTTGATAACGATAACGAGCCCGATAACGCTCAGTCGGCGGAGCTCGAGCTCGACAGCCAGAGGGAGAATCGAAAACAACAGAAGCAGGGCCCCTGGCACGGGGTTGATCCCGTCTTATTCCTGGAAGACGATCAAATCATCCGCAGCCTGGCCTCGTACTATGGCATCCAGGAATCGCTGCCACTTTCAGGCCACTTGGTGGTGAGAAGCGAGGACACTTCCCGAGTGAAAAGGATTTACTACGTCTCCAAGTCCGTGGGCGACGTGGCCCGGCTAAACTTTCGGTCTGGTCAGATGCTCAAGATCACCTCCGCTGGTCTGAAGATCTTCGTAAGTAGCTAGTTTCGCGCTTTCACAGGCTTTCCTTACTTACACTCACCGTGTTAATTTCTTTTTCTCCCAGGAGCGGCATTCGAACAAGGAAGATGCGTCGGCTTGTAACTTTCGGATCGCCTCAGAGGGCCTGCCACTCCTCCTACCGCATCTAACAAAGCAGCTCTTGTACGCAACCAAGGACGACTTTAAGTTGCTGCTATCGCCCAGTGCCGTCCCGTTCGTAGCGTTTAAGGATCCGGCGTTCACGTCCGCCATGCAAAGCCTCCTCGTAGGATGCTGCGTGGTTGTGCTCAAAGATTCCGGTAAGTCTTTTATGACCTCTCTCAAGTTCTCGATCTCTTTGTTTTGTTTCGCAGTTGGAACGAACGATGTAACCGCGGTTGGCTGCTGGAGGGGGCGGACGAATATGAGCTTGCTGGTGCCAAGAGTGGAAGCGGATCAGATGCTTAAGAGACTCTTCCCGGAAGAAGTTGAAGCTGGTGATCGAACTTCCAATCCAGTAAATGCAAACGAGGATGACACACTCGAAGAACAAAAAGGTGATGAAATGGATGAGCACACAATCGAGGAGGACGAAGGAGAAGAAAAGGGTGACGAAAAGGATGGGCGGCACACACTCGAAGGACAATAACAAAAATTTCATGACACACACACACACACATGCTAGACTTGTTTTGGATCTTTGTGTTGATTAAACACACGAAACTATGATGTTTTGGACTGGAGCCCTTGACTCTGACTACGAGCATGACAGTGGAAGTTACATTTTTAAATGGCAAAGCACACGAGAGAAGATTAAAGAAAATGGCCAGTGGGACTGACTGGAAGAACATGCATCTCATCAGAGATAGAAAGTTACACCTCAATTTAAAATTTATTTATTTTTACACAAACATTAAACAGTAACATAATGTGGGATGATATCTTTTGATGGGCAGACAACACAAAACTTGCAATAAATTAAAAGAATCCTCCACTACACAGAGAGGTGGCATGGTATCCATCCAAACCGAGGATCTCCTGTGCAAATCCTACAGGCTCAAACGATACCTTACGCTCTCACTCTCTCCAGGCTCCCAAATTTTTACACTAGACCTCTACACTACACTCACCAACAAAGCAAGAAATAAAGAAAGAAAGAGAGAGAAGGAGAGATAGGTAACTTACATCCTCCCTTTGAAGAAGAAGAAAGCTCGAGTGTGTGTGGCTCCCCAAAAATTTACACGCTGCTTCCAGGTGCGGTGGTGCGGTAACTGGCGACTCTGATCTTGGCCCGCTCACCGCTCGCCGCATTTATGTACACGAAAACGAAGCTCTCGAGCGGATTCAAGGAGCTCCGCCAGTGAGGGAAGGTGAATGATCCCTCGCCCGCGTCGCTGCTGCTGCTGCTGCTAGTGCTGCTAGTGCTCCTGCTAGTGCTGCTGCTGCTACTGGATGTACGCGTCAATCCCCAATACTGGCCCTCTTGAAGCCGATTGATTTGGAGAACGATGGCTTTTACTGTCCGCCTCCTCGATGTGTTCTTCACTGTCACCTCGTACTTGTACTGGACCTGGCCTTCCAAAGTCCACGAGCCCACCAGCCTTTGCCGGATGGACAGCACTGATTTCACGCCACCTTTTAGTGGAGAAAAGCAAACGCACGGAGTAAGTATACGATGTTAAAAGAGAGTGGACTCTCTTTACGAACAGAAGCTTACGTGGTATCGTCTTTAAAGCCGTTCTTACTGCTCCCACCAACGACGTCTTTGAGGCCTTGAGCTCTGCGAAACCAAAGAGAAAATGTAAGTTCTCGAGCACTCACTCACTCTAGCCGTAAGAAAGAGAGATAGATTCCTGCCTGGGAGTTTGGATTGCTGGTAGCGGTGGTCTTGTAGCAATCTGGCCAGGATGCCGATAAGCGGCCCAGTGTTATACGTCGCGGGCTCGGTCTGCTCGAAGTTGTATCTCTCGTCGGCGAAGTTATCGTACAGGTCGGGGCCGCCAACGAGCGCGCCAATGAGGACGTTTGGGTCGCTCATCTTGCGCAGATACCAGCTGCTGTAGCCGCCCCGGCAGCTGACAAAGGCATTGTCGACTTTGATGGACACGATGGACGATGCCCGGTGGTGGACCTGGCGGGGATAGTTCTGACCGAAACCGATGAGGTAGCTCGTTGCTCTTGGATTGTCTCCCAGGATGTAGTCCACCTGGGGCAGCATATAACAGACTCGCATTAAAAACTTGGTCGAGGGGTTCTTCAAGAAGGGAATTGGACTAACCTGGGACTTTGCGAGTGCTAGAAGCTCACTGGAGTCGGAGCTCTGCCTGGGGCATTGCAGTTGCTGGGGTGACGACGCGAGGTAGTCAGAGTACACAGTTAACAAGAAAGATGCAGTTACAACGTACTGCATGTTGTTCCAAGATCTCACGTACATCAATCCGCCTGAGAGAGACAAAGAAATTAAAGAGCAATGGTCAGTCAGAGCCAGAGGGTGTACAAACTTGGAAGAAAAAAAACATGGGTCCAAAAAAAAGAAAAAAAAAAACGAAGAAAACCTCACCAGGCGTTCTTGGCAGGTGAAAGCCGTTATTTTTCTGAAGAGCAGCACAAAGGAAGAATTGTGCCTTGGATTGAAACAGCTCCAGCGTTGGAATGTGTCGTGGAGAAGCTCGTCCTTGCATGAGAATCTGCAGCTCATGAATAAGCCATGTTCAATAGCCAGTTAAAAAATGCTACCTTCGATGCAAGAACTTGAACTCCTGGATACTTCACGTCCCAGGAGAACTCCATAAGCCCCCAGATTGTGCCCCCCAACGCTCCGCCGTTATCGACAGCGTAATCGAGATACTGTTCATCCCCAGTCGCTTCGTAAAGCCACAGGGACGCCCACAGAAGTTCATCCTGGAAAAGACCAGTTACCAGAATATCTCAGTCACCAGCTGTTACTGAGACGTGAAGAGCTTACCGCATAGCCACTCTTGGAAGTGTAAAAATTTTGCGCGAGGCGGATGCTGCTGTCGTACTTCCCGCGATACTTGTCCGCGAATTCAAACAGCTGGTAAGACACCAAAATCGAAGGAACAGGGAAGTGAGTACCGAGTATACAAAGAAAGCGCGAAACAGGAACAAAACAATGAAATGCCAGCCATGGGTGATAAGCGCTCCAGACCGACGAAAAGACAAGAATGACGAAAACAGAGGCGAAAACGAGGAGATACCAGCAAGGGGATATAGAGAGGTGACCTGTTTGGAATGTTCTACGAGCAGATCTGAGTAAGCCGGGTCAGAGCTACGCAACGCGATAGATGCCGCGGCCATTGCTGCGGCCGTTTCGCCCGCAAGATCGGATCCAGGGTTGCTGGTGTCGATCTTGTAAGCACGGCGCGAAGTGGTCATGTCTTCTGGCCGCTGCCAGCAACCATGGTCGTTCAGGCCATCGCCCACCTACAAAATCGAGAACTTTGGGTAAGAACACGAATCCACATTCACCAAAGAAAAGCGATTAAAGTGAAAGATTTTAAGAATGTGAGCTCTAAAAATCTTAGCTACTGGCTAGTCTTTGAAAGAGAGGGGTTCTATACCTGGCCCCACAGCTCGAATGGCGCAGTGTGAGCTTTGAGGAAGTAATCGGTGCCCCATTTGATGGCTTCTTTCGCGAATCCCATCTGCCCGGCGCCATCGATCTGCTTGCCATACTCGATGGCGCTCCAAGACAGCATTGTGATCGTGAAGGCCATTGGGAGGCCAAACTTGACATTGTCGCCGGCGTCGTAGTAGCCGCCGACTAGATCAACCTGGGCAAAGAAAGAAAGAACGAGGGGTGTGAGAAACCCGGGCAAAATATTTCGACGATCGAGCAAGAAAGAAGCGCTTACGCCCTGGGATTTGCCGTCGTCGAGCGCCGAATCCCCCCGCCAAGACGCCCGCTGGCTCGGCGGCAGCCTCCCGGATCGCTGCGCCTCGTAATACAAGAACGTCTTGCCCAGCGCATCCGAGTAATCGAACGCCAGCGCCGATTCGAGCAATGCAGCTACCAGAACCGCGCCCAGGCACGCGCAAATCGATGCATTCCTCCTCGACATCACTCCGCCGGCACGAAATTTCTGGAAATTTCCGCTCACACCTGCGAAATCTCTCACAGATGCACGCGCCAGGCGCCAGAATATCACTGCACACGCCCGGATCGACAGCAAAACGATCGATAACGGGCAATGCTGGAAGAATCAGGGCAAAGAAAGATCGATCTAAAGCTATAGTATCAAGAACCCTAAAAACACGACGATCGTGGAATGGTGTATAGAAGTAGCAGCAGTGGCTAGCTAACAGCTTCAGCCGACAACAATTTCCTTTCCATCTATCTTTCGTTCTTTTTTTACTGTGCGTGCTGGTTAGCCGTTAGAGGACAATGCTGCGGTAACTTTCTCTTTTCCCTCTCCAGTGACGGGTAGTTAGCCGTTGCGAGGGCGTGCGATACGACAATGAAGAAAATGTTTTGACCGGCAGATCCATCCGGGGTTAAACTTTATTTGGCGATTGACTTTGGGTAAAATAGACAAGTCTGGAGAACTTATGGTGACCACGACGAAAGAAGGAAACTGTTGCATTTGCTAGCCATGTGAGGGGTTCCAGGTATCGCATGTGCCGGGCGCCAATAAAATAGAATATCTCAGTGATGACTGGTGAATCTAAGTGCGGATATTCTTTATTTTGTAAACAGTATAATATTTTGCTTTAATTGGTTAATTTAATATTATGCAAATAATTAAAAATCAAAGTTGTGAATATACAATTAACCCAAAAACGTTAGCTTATATATAGAAGCGAGTGGTCCAGATTGCAACCAATCAAATAACTATTAAAATCCTATAACAGTATATAGCATTACTCACCATCCTCTTCTTTAAGAAGGATAAAAAGTAATTAAAATTCTTTGATTGATGGGATTTAAAGGAACATTAAGAGGAAGTATTGATAGTGCTATTTATTTTTTATCCCTTTGTATGAAGTGTTTTAGTTATTGTATATATACAATTTTTGGAGGATTGTTATGTTAAATGTTTTGTTGAACCTTATAAACTTCTGGTACAACTTGCTACAACACTTAATAAAGTCCCTTTCATTAAGCAAAGAACCTTTTTTATAAATTGATTAGGAAAATAAACTAACACTAGATTATCTATTTTATACTTTACATGTGGATGATAATAAGAGTTGTAATGTCATTGTTGTTCCACTTGTATGCAACTAAAATGTTACCTCCCGTTAAACACCATCCTAATTCACTCTCTCTCTCTACTTACTTGGCAGTGATGTGGCATCATGCCTTCTTTTTATTTTTTCTCTAGCGCACTCCTCCCATCTATCACTACTATGCATTCTTGCCCGTGGCTCCTGCCCACCCACTCGCCTTCATGGCTCCTACTTGCACTCCCACCCCACATGTCTGCCCGTGCCCAGCATGTGCCCTAATTATTTCCACGTGGCCACAGCCCTAATACTTAGCCAAATTTCAATCAACACGCCCTCTTCCAATTGCCCCATAATTGACCTAAAAAACCTTCTTCCATGTGGTTAGTTGCCCTATCATTGATCTAAAAATATTTCTATTTCTTCTATGATCAAGCATGGTGGCAGCACATCAATTTTTAGAGGTAAGCAATCAATTCAACTTCATATTGATTCAAGAAAATCATTTAGGATCCCCCATAACTTGATAAGATGCAAGAATTCCATGAAAAGGATTATTGTTGTGTAGATGATTTAGATTGGAATTTGTCTAAATCATATGAAACTATAGCTCCTATTGTATATATATTACACAAGGATGTGAATAAGTTTCTACATGGTGAGAGGAGAAGGGGTGATGGAATGGATTTTCGGCGATTTTCAAACAAAAATTGTGATCTTGGAGATTTGAAACGACCCAAAAACACAAGATTTTTATTATTCATTAGGCATACTTTTTTAATAAAATATAATTACTAACTTTTTGATATAGATATCGGTGTGAATATCAAAAATAAGATGCTCGTGAAACATCCTCTATAGTTGCTAAATCTATACCAAAGTCAAAACATAGAAGTAAACCAAATCAAAGTTCTAGTAAGTGTGTAATTTTTTGGTCAAACAATTTTACAAATGGCCTAATTATGTGTTTAATTGTAGTAATTGCAGGTGATGCTAAGTCAAACTTTTGACCTTATCCTTGATATAGATTGATTGCAACACAATCATGTCTAACCTTATCCTTGGTATAGATTGGTTGCAATGCAATCATGCCAAATGTAACTTTGAAGCTTTTCCCCCTTATTTCATACTTCTTTATATTTTCCCCGGATAGAAAAAAGAGTAGCATAGTTTCACAGACAGGGTCACATGTGACTTTGTATTATTATAGAGAGCATTGTGATAAGAATGGAATTCTTTGTCATGGTCAACTTAACCTGATTGGAGCAAAGTCATTATTTCCTTAAAAGCTTTCAGCAGATATTCGATATTAGATGATTTATATGATCCACCAAGATTTCACATCAAATCAAATTTATAATGAGCATTATAGATTGTGAGAAGGAACAAGTCAGCTAGTGAACCTCCTTGTCGAGATGATTTTCTAACTATGTAGAATATTAACAATCTACATAGAAAGTATTTGCTTTCAACTTATCAATTATATGAGAATGATGTCCAAAGTGTACATATTTAGAAAAACACAAATCCTGATAAAGTATTTTTTTATCATGAAAGTGATCAAGGTAAAGATTGTTATAGTATTGAGATTCAAACAACTTGGCAACTGCAAAAGATGATAGACTTTGCAAATAATACTTTGTTCAGTTTTGATGCAACTTTTAGAACTAATTGCTACAAAGTAAAATTTTATTTATTTTTAAGTGAATAATATTTCATAATTTATAATTCCCATTATATATCATGCTTATTTTTCATTATCATGGAAATAATATTCCAATTGCATGGGTTTTAACTTTTAATGAGAAAGGAGAACATATGAAGGATTGGATAATAGCTTCAAAAAAATAATATTTATTAGAAATTTCAGATTGGAAACCATATATGATAGTGATTAATGATGCTGAAGTAGATATTAATGCTATAAAGTAATTAATTTGATATAATATAATATAATTTTTTTCTTTTATATAGAGCTATATTTTATTGTCAAATTCTATTATGTATTTGGCATGTAAGGAGGAATTGGCTCAAACTTGTTTTTTGTAATGTGAAATCTTGGGATAGTATGATGAAAATATGGAAACTTCTCAAAGATATTATGTATTATTTAATTTATGCAACTTTTCATGATGATAATATTATGCGAGCTGAGATTAAACAACTTATCAAACATTTTGAGGTGGATTTTCAAAATGAAGTAGCCTTTATCAAGTATTTTTAAAATGAATGGAAGGACAAAGTTAGTAAGTGAATCAATATTTTGATTTTTATAATTTATTTTGATTCATATTTGATAAATATGTGGGTTGTTGCTAAAAATTTCTCTCATACTAACAAAGCAACAAATAGTTTGATTGAGGCATTCCATGCAAATATAAAAGTTATACTCTCATTCGAAAAAAAATATGCTTGCAATCAAAAGACAAATTGGGTAGGTATTAGTTTACTAGGTATTGCAAAGATCATGGTTTTATTCGAAACCATGCATACGAAAAACTAATTGATGGTGCAATTGTTAAAACAAAAATTATTAACGACTCTCCAGTAAAATTTGATAAAGACAATACTCACAAATTTTGTGTATAATCCTCTTCAGATTCAACTATATAGTATCTTGTTGTTAGAGATGAAAGACACAGTGATTGAACTTTTTCTTCTCTGTAGGCAAGCAAAGGAAAGTTTTGCAAGTCTCAAGCAAAAGTTATTATGTTAAAATAAGGAGAGAAAATCAATTACACTACAATTAGTTATGAGGTTCAATCATCACAATTGTATTCAATTTTAGAACTTAGGTCAAATGACTTATTTTATCATCATCAAGATTTTAAAGCACAATTATTACATAAGTAATTCACTTATTAATTAAAATTTTGAAATACTTATAAAAATTTGAGCAAGCAATTATCTATCAAAATGTTTATTATGAGCAAGAAATTCAATTGGAGACTATATTAGAGGTAAACTAGCATATTTGATATACTAAAATATATGAATATTGAACAGGAAGATATCCATCAAAATCTATAGTATCAACAAGAAACTCAACTAAGGACTACTATAGAGGTAATTTACACTAAACAAATTTTAGATATTGATATAAAATTTAAGCAGGAAGATATCACTCCATCAAAAGTTATAAAAACGATATTATAGCAAACGATGATAGATATCTTACAAAATCTTCTTGATGAAGAAACTTTTTTATCTATGATTAACAATGATTTAGAAATGATACAAGAGAAGATTGCAACCTTTATAGCTAAACTTCATGTTATAAGGTCCTAGATTTAGACTTCCTAGGAAGTCACCCAACCCAATACTATTTAAACCTTCTCAATTTGGACTTTCCAGGCAAACCCAAGGACACTTAACCCCAAGTATCCCAAAACCCTTAACCGATTGGAAAAGGGGTTGCACTCTTATTCATTGTCAGGAATCCCCCAATTCTTGCCACATTCCTGACTCTCACCGGATTCCTGACCTGCAGACTACATTCCTTACTCTCGAAACACTTCCCTATTCCTGACTCTCGAAACACTTCCCTATTCCTGACTCTCGAAACACTTCCCTATTCCTGACTTTCTGATTTCCTGTATGATTCCTGAGTCTTGAGCCACATTCCTGATGATGATGTGGCGCCTCCTCGACCTCAGCTATATTTAGGCCGTCTTCAATCCAAGAGTGGTGGAGCTTCATCAACCTATAGTATATATAGGTTAGCCTTGTTTCATTTCTCCACAATCTGAATCAACGCTAGTTTAAGGCTTTTTCTTTGTTTCCACTAGCTTTTCTCTTTGTCTTTTGTATTTTCCAATCTTGATCTTGTTAGGGGTCTTGACAGTTTGATTCAGATTATGTTTTTTCATTTTTTGCTTTAGCTCATTTTGATTGTTTGACTACCTTTGCCTTTTTTCCCCCTTTTTCTTTCTTCTTGCCGATGGAGTCTCCAAGCCATCCTAATTTCTTTGCCGAAGTCCTTGCAAAAATCCAATCTGAGAATACTGAGCTGAAGGCAACCCTTCTTTGCATGCAGCAGAAGCTTGCTTCACTTTCGGCTCAAGGATCCAGCAAAGTTCCTAAACCGAAGGTGAGTTTCCCGATGAAA